CTAAACCCCAGGAATGTGTATTGTTCTTCGAGACACAAAAGCTGTGGGCCGACGATAGGAAAACTTGACCCTTTAATAAATGGGGATGAGTAATAGAGAGTGAACAAGTTCTATAGAAAAAGAATTATGATGGGTTCTCCTCTTTCAGTTTTTAGATTTAAAAATATTTGATTAGAAAACCAGAAATCTTTATCCAACTTCTATTTTTAATAGGGAAATTCTTTTCCGTTTCTAAATCTTTTTTCCAAAAATAATGATGTAACAATCACCATTTATTTAATGTGCTTTAAGAAACCGTTTCAGTACATAAAATTAGCCAAACCATTACCAATTTTTTGTAGTCTTTCTTGCCCTGCCTTGCTTAACTATTTTTCATACCTGCTGCTGCTGAGATTTGCTTCTTCACACCTATAGATAGACAGAAATTAGCAAAAGAGACATGCCCATGAAAACGCACAAAAACAACACAAAACTAAAACTTAGTTCTTCGGAAAGATAAACTTGAAAACTCAACCACACCCTTCACCGCCAGAAAAACAGTGCCATCTGCCAAGTGGCCAAGTCGCATCAACGAGAACGAGAAAAAGCTTCCAAGTTGGCTTTTTGTTTGAGGCAGCGGAAATTATTATTAATTGCTTGGAATGCCTGCTGCCTCCTCCCAAGAAAACGGAGCTCCACGAGGCACTGGACAGGGGACTGTGGTCCAGTGTCCATGTTCTTGGCTCGCCTCTAATGGCTTCCGTTGGCGTGGCTGGAGAGTTTGTTGTTTCTGCCCTCCGTTTTGATATGTTTCCATACCAATCATTTCGATGACGTAAAGAGCCGCTTTTCATGGCCAAAAACTGGCCCGAGTTCTTGGCCCCCAAAAAAAAAGCTAACCCAACTTGTGTGTGGGGTAAATGCGTTGGATTGCCGCGGATTACTTCGAGTACCGTGGGGTTATTGGCCTTGGCTATGAGCGAGTTTGCTCTTGGCCCGCGTGGGTAAACAGTTTGCTAAATTTGCCCGGCTTGGCCAAGCGTGTCCAGATGGTCGCCTTTTTGCAACAACAATTGCAATTGCAACTCCAGTCGGAGTTGCAGTCACAGTTCCAGCCACTTCTCCAGAGGGGAAGTTCGCCAGTGACTGCGACAACTTCTGGTCCAACTCCAGCTCCCATTCCAACTCCCACTACACCTGGGGAGTTCCACACTGGCGGAGGCACGAAGCGTAAAGTTGAAAGTGGAGTGGAGCACATGACTCTACACTGGGAATTAAAAGAGTGAGAAGAAGGGAATGAATAGTCCCAAAAAATATAAATAATAATATGCCATATTATATAACAAAATATAATATAATATTCTCTATGGTATAATTTTTAATTATATTTGCAGGAGGTTGCATCAAGCAAGGCTCAACTTTCATTATGATATAAATATTAACTGACTCGCTCAAAGAATACCACAAAAAAATATATAAATAATAATATGCCATATTATATAATAAAATATAATATAATAATCCTTATTGTATAATTATTAATTATACTTGCATGGCATGGCATATAGCAAGGCTCATTACATTACTCATTTTTCATTACGATATAAATATTACCTACTAAGAACCTGAATTGTTGGCTTTTGACGGATTAATAAAATATTGACCTATGTTTTTATATTTTAAAATATAGATTTAGACATTTTAAAATAGCTATCAATAAATAACATATAATTTAATAATTATAAACTAAACATCATAGCAAATCCTTGACATTCCTTCTAAATAAAAGTACTTCAAAACACCCTAAATATATATATTATACCCAATATTATTCCAAGTGTTTATTGTTAAAGTCAACTTCTGGGGTCTGTGCTAAAGGTGGCGGCGGGTATCGGTGTCTGGAAGCCTGGACCATTGGTAGCTCCACAGGGAAGGGCTCTTGGGCTCCCTCCCTCTCTCTCCATGCAACAAAAGCCAAACAACAACAGACCGTCAGGGAAGGTGAACGACTTTCCCATTTGCTTAATTGAGTTTGAATGGCGGAACGAAAATGTTGCAACAAAGGGCTAAGGGAAAATGTTGCCGTTGCCGTTGCAGTGATTTTCATCGAGCAATTGGCGGGACTTCGAGGAGGGTTTTCCATGGAGACCAAGCAGCTCCTCGCGCGAACAATTGAACCTTCAAGTGTGTCAGCCAGAAAGAGGGGAAGGGGAAAACGTCTTAAGGTAATGCTCAAAGAATGGCTTAAAGCCAAGGAGAATAGGGCCACTTTGTAGATTTTATTATTGAACAAATTGCTAATAAAAGAAATTCTAGACTTCAACTTGAAGCTTAAAGTCTTTGTTTCATAAGAAATGGTTTCAAATCGTATTATATAAAAAATATATTTATTTTAAAGGGCGCTTTCCTAGCTATATTTTTATGATTATTCATTTTATCTGATTCATTAAAACATTTCCCTAATTAAGTACACTTTTCCACAGACTACCTTGCTTCACAAAAAAAGAACACAACTTGTAATGAAATTATCCGCATAAACTTTTAAAGGAAAAGAAAAGTTATAAATTGCTGCAGAATTACTTGGATAAAACTTTCCTGCCAAGTTAAGCAACTTGTGCGGTATACAGATACATTTACAGGCTACAAATGACGTTTGTTTCATGTAATAATTTCACATCATAATGTATTTAAAATCTTGAATTAAAAGTAGTATTTCTATAGCAAACATTGCTCACTGACTTGAGCAAACTTAGTAGTTTTCCTCACAGGTGTTTGGTATCTGAATGAATTGCATTATGTGGCACCTTGTCCCATGTTCTCTTCACCAACTTATCATTTGCAACTGACAATCTTCTAGAATTACTCAATTTCAGAGCAATGAAATGGAAGAGTCAGAGCTCTATCTGAGCTCAGAGCCAGCTGGCTTATCGATCGACCGGTATTGCGATTACCATAGCTTTGCTTCACAAAATTGTTTATTTATTTTGACACGTTCAGTTGCCGCTGGTCTTGTGGCTGAGTAAATAAAATAACAAAAAATTGCTCTCGTATTTCCGCCTGCCTGCCTTGCCCCTTTTTGGGTCTTATTTATAGCTCTACTCCTCCTCCGAAGACCACTACTACCACCGTTGGCTACTGTCTGCCCCGATCTGTCTGTAATTTGTTTACGGCCACTGTGTTGCCTCGATTAGGAGACGGCGTTGACAGCTCCTCGGATGATGAAGTCTTTTGGAGGCGGCGGCGACATGTGTGGCACCAAGAGACTCCAGAGTCTTCAGTGTTTTGTTTGTTGTTTATCTGCCGCGTGGCAATCGGCAACATGCGGCGACAGCGGCACAGAACATGGTCGTATATAGATCTAAGATGTATAAGAACACTGGAAGAAAATACTAGAAAACACTCTGCGAAAATTGTAAATTGGGAATATAGAACCTAGTTAATATATAGATATATATCTAACTTGTCAGAATCAAGCACCTTTCTTTTAAAAGTAACACAAAGCTTGCATTTTTAGAGCAATATCATAAGACCTATGATGTCCAAGTGCCTATTATTTATAAAAGTACATCCATAAATTTAACAAATAATATTATTCTAACACATTTTAAAATTGTTCTTCGTAACTTGTAACAAACCCGATGAAAAACTATAGTAACCTAGAGGTTAATACACAAAGTACCCTACTTATGTCATTTATTTGATATAGTTATTGGATATATTATTAGTTAACATAAAGATATTACATATGATATGTACATCTTACTTGTCAGAATCAAGCACCTTTCTTTTAAAAGTTAAAACAAGCCATTTTAGAGCTGGGTTTTTATTATAAGGCTAAGGCTTATGATAACCAAATGCCTATTCTTTAGAAAAGTCCATCAATTAATGGAAAAATACTAATATTATAATACATTTAACAATTTTCCTAAGTAACTTCTAAGAAAAAGTAGAAAAACTATATTAACCAAAAGGTTGAGACACAAAGTACCCTATTACATATGTATGTCACTTATTGAATTTGTATATAGTTGAATAAAAACTAAATATAAAAACATATAATCCCATTAATTACTCCACAATAAGTAAATATTTTTCTCCCTGTGTATACACATATATGTATTTTGCCCTAATGATTCTGACCCTGAACGAATTTTGAAGTGGTTTCGGTTGCCTGACTTTGGAAGACGTAAACATGTCCATAGTCCCATTCCGTATCCCGATCTGGCGGACTTTTGTAATTGCAACGAATGAGTTATAAATTTCTTGCCCAGTTGTTGCCACCACCGATGTCTGAGGGAGGGAAATATACCATAAAGTCAAAGATGAGGAGCGGTTTCTTTTTTATTTTTCGAGAAACCAAGTGAAATTGGTTGACAGATGACTGATGGGAGTCGACTGTGATAGATGAACAGCGAGTACAGCGCCCAAGGTTGGTACAAATCCAAATATAAAATCAATTAACTGAGCTATCTTAAATAAAACGATTTCCATTGATATGAAACACAACAAAAAGGTGTTTCCTTACCCCCTTTGATGTGGCACCGCATTCTAGGATGTGACACTTTACAGCTGGCGATGGATATCCCCACCAGAACTCACAAAATAAATATTTACAATGTAAATAAAACAGGGAAAATCTTAGGAAGGAAAAGAAAATAAGGAAATCTTTATATGAAATTTTTTTAAGGAAATCAAAGTTTATAGAACTCATAACTAAGGCAAATAAGCATCAATTTTAATTCGGATAACTTTTCAATGTTAGATTTTTATAGGTAAGTAAAGCTGCATACTCAAATTAAAAATTTAAGCAAGTTAATTTTTTTTTAATTTTTGACACTTTTAAGGATGTAAAATGTTGAAAAAATGAAAAATTTTATTTTCTGCCTGAGATGGCTAGATCGATGCGGATTTTAATGCTGATCAATAATATATGATTTATGGGGTCGGAAATGATTGCTTCTTTGAGTAAAATTATATAAACGTGAAGGTAGGTATAAAAGGATTCATAAGAAATACTCCATTTAAACACTCAAAATGACAGTCTCTGCACCCATGTCAATGGTGCTCCAACCCAATGCATTGGCCACCAGTTGCTGAATCTGACGCAAAGGAACTCCTGCCTTTTCCAGTTCATCTGTCAGTGAACGATACTCCTTCAGGGATCGCACATCCCGCAGAATCCGCCGGAACTTGGTGCTACGAATAAGGCGCACAGCATTCACCAATTCCGTATCGGAGGAGTAAAGTCTCAGATACATATCCCTCAAGGTGGCACGGGGTACAGCATCACGAAGATCCAAAAGCAGACCACGTATTCCCTGCCGACGATTGGGCAACTTACTGGTCGGCGGTTCCAAAGTGTGAATGTCAAGGAAGACCCTAACATACTCCACATAGTAGGCGGGATCCAGCTTGAGCTCTCGACAGATGAACTCCTGCAGGGCCTGATGCTGTTTGGTGGCTCTCAACCGCTGCACTTCCTCCTTAAGACGATCACTTCTTAGGAGCTTAATCAAACCCCGCACCTGAGGATCCTCGACAGCATTGGCAAGGATGTTCTTTAGACGAGCAGCTGGTAAGAGGGGACGAGCCACCCGAATGAGATTGGTGAGACCACGTTCAGCGTTATTGGGACACTGATTGTTATCTTTGGACACTAAGACCTCCTCCACTGAAGCCTTGGTTGAAGTGGTATCAGTAGAAGGAACTTGCGTTGTCTCAGTTTGATCAGACACTTCCCTGGCAACACGCAAATGATCCTGCTCCTCCCAAACAGGCAGCCAATTGATTTTGTGGACATTCATTACTTCCTGATCGAGATCACTGGGCACCTCCAACTCAGGTAACTCATGAGAGCTAATGGGAAAGCCATTGTCGATTAAGGGGGTTGTGGAGTCAACAAGCTCCTGGAAATGGAAATTATTACCTCATCCCTACATCAATGATATTAAAGCCATTCCTACCTGTGACTCCTGTGACTCCTCCAAGGAGTTTCCTGCCACCAGAAGCAGGCAGCAACCGTAGATGGCCAGAAGTCGAATCATGATGAATTCAATTAGGGAACTGTGCTTATCTCCACAGAGAATTTCTCTTTTTATACCTTGGGCACTTTATCTGATGTTTAACCATCTCATATTTGCTTGAAAATTTTGCGGGCAAACAAACTTGAAACCAGAGCAAAGAATCAACAAGAACGCATCACAATGAATCAACCCGAAAAAAAAGTGGAACGACCTTGACATCAAGGGTGGGTGGGGGAGAAGCCTCATCAAGCTCAAGTAAGCTCATCAATCTTTCATATTGTGCCGTCATCGGAGCCGAATTGCATCGTAAAACACACTCAGCAGTATATATCCTGTTCTGTCGGGATTTGTTTTGAGCATTTTATTGACGTGACTTTTGCTTTGGATCGATTGTAATGCCCATAAAAATCATCAAGGCAACACCATCAACCAGCAATCATCGTGTAACACTTGAGTCTCTATTACATATATCTATATATATACATATATCTATATTTCTAAGCCAATTTTCAGTTGTTGTTAAATTTGCAAGTTAATCTCTTTGATGGCTCTGCGATGTCATTCGCACAATGGCCGGGTCGATTTATTGTCATGATCTGCTTTTATTATATTGCAAATTGTATGCATTAATCAACTTTGGATTAGGTGCCCTGAATAATGTGTATTTTATGAGGGCAAGTTCAGGGGTCTTCTTTGAGCCGTTTGAATAAATTTATTTAGGCAATTTTTATGACAATTTCAATTGATGTTCGACACAAATTTGTAAAAAGAAAACATTAAAAGCTATAATCTATACAATAATTGCCTCAATCTAAGTAAAACTTATGCTTCAATAACTTATTTACCATCTAAAAAGTATACCAAATATTAAGGTAGCTATCAAATCTGTATCTAAACCAGTCCTTAATAATCGTATTCCCCTCACGCCTAAACACGCGGTGAAGTCAGCAAGAATCTTGGCCTGGCCATAACGTAAACAATTCCCATCAATCCGATGGCCCGTTGAGATTTCCCTAGGCATTCCGGGTAGTATCAGATCCCCAAAACAAGTTAGTTGCCATATAAAATCCTTTATATCCCATAAAAATCTTCACCAAAACACAATCAAATGAAATTTTATGTTAATCCGCAAAGCGCCTTGGAACCGACGACGAGCTGAGGATAAAGTGTCTACCATCTCAATTTTTTTGGGGCAACTTGCTCCCCAAAGCATGAATATTCATGCCAGAGTCCTTCGGGAGCGGAGGTGGGAAAGCCTGCTCCTGCCCAGGAGTCTTTGCCAATTCCGATACGCAAATGTTTCGCTCATTGTCAACAAGCGTCAGGGTTTTGGGGAACAAAGTGCTGAAACGGAAAATAAAACTTATTCCAGACCAAAAGTAAAGGGGGAATCCTAATGAGTCCCACATGAATGCTGTGCAAATGATTTTTCGGGCTGACGCTTTTAAATTTGGTGGCGAAAGGATAACTAGGGGGAATCGGTTGCCAAAAACAAAAAAAAAGGCAAAACCACAGCGAAAACAACAAGAGACGACGGCAAAATGAAAGATATGAAACTTCAGTCAAGGATATGGATACTACCCACCGTTCCAGTTTCATGGCTACATTTCTCTTATGAATAATCTGGGCTTTTAAGGGAATCGTGTCACTGAGAAAAAGTTTAGGTTCTAGATATAGAAATTTACTTTGAATTTGAAACTGACTTTTAACTAGTATAGATTTATTTCTAGGTCAGTTTAATCATAATTAGTTAAGCTTCATATTTTGGTTCTCCTTTTCTTAAGGGAAAAGGTTTGTTGGACAATAAATATGTAAAATAAAAGTCCTTAAGTTCTAAAATTTGTAAGAAACATTATTAAGAAATGGGGTGATGATAAAAGAAGTCCTTATAGGATTTTCCTGAATAAAATGAAGTTTATTTAGACAAAATAGTTCCTATCTTAGCAAGCATCTAAAAAGCTTTAGTTTTCCTCCTTTTCAGGTTACTTTATCACATTCAAAAGCTTTAGTTCCCCTTTTAAACAAACATTCATATATATTTCCAAGAGATTACAGGCTCTAGAAATTTCAGTAAAAGGGTTTCTTGCAGTGGCTTGCCATCAATCTGCCGGCTGGCTGAGTGTCGGAATATACCCCCTTCTTGGGGTCTGAAATATTGTTTCAATTGTTGTCAGTTTGTTGGTTGCCTATTTATAGCTGAAAACGAAAAATCCATTAGAATATTGCCGCAGACACAGCACAGGTCTTTGGCCGGCGCTCCCTTATTATTATTTTTTTTTTGGGGCAGAGACTAAGAGGTGTGCAAAGTACCTGTCCAGGTGGGAGGCAAGGAGTGCCGGGCACATACACATAAAGAAGCATTTAGAAAGGGAATCCCCAGTGGTGGAGCATGGAGCAGCGGGTGGATATCAGCAGTCACGCAAGGGGCCAACGCCCAGGGCAGACAGGCTCGACAGTCATCGGGATAATCCTCCCCTGGAGTCCAGACAGCTGGGCAAACATTTAAGGCGCCACGCCCCACATTTTGGCACCCCTAATTGATTCAAAAATGTAATTCAATCTGCATTTCGTTTGGGAATCAGCCGGAATTGGTTTTGGCTCCTCTGAAATTGGGACATGGACGTGAGCTGCATTCGATTGCCTTGTCAATCCAATCCAATAAAGGCTCTCTCCATCATACGGATCAACACATCGAGTTGCATCATTATCAAAACAAGAGCACACGAGCATCGAGTGCACAATCAACATGTTAACTGACTAATATCTCTGTGGATGCTGACAATTAGGACATTGCCGAGTGCGAATGCAAATATTAAACGAGCCCCGCAGGCAGATGCATTGTGTCCGACAGAGAATTTTCACATATTGATATATCGGTCGAGGCAATTTCTGGGATCATTAGCCGCAATGCACTCCCGAAATGTACAATTTATGGCTCGAAATGAAAGATGGGGGTAATCGATGGACAATTAATTATATTCTGTTGATTTAGTGAAACCATAAAAGGCTTTTTAGATGGAGAAGATAGACATAATGTTTAAATTTATGAGTTGATTAAGTTGGGATTTTTGTAAAATATGATACGATGATTTAATTTGATAGTTTAAATATGAATTAAACAATAATTTGCAGCACTGGCTTAGCTTAAAGCTCTCAACATTGCCACTCTGCATTTCAACTGAGCATTCCTCAACCAGTTCCTTTTGTAAAGGATACCCAAACTTTAGATTATGCAAATTGCTGGGGCACAAGTTTGTTTAATTATTCTCGCAAATTATGCATGGCTTAATGTCTGTGTAGTCGATTTGTAGATATCAACATTGTCTGGTCAGGAATTTATGCCCAGAAATGCCAAAACACAATCACAGAAGGGGACCAAGGGCAACCGTATGTTGTCAATTACAAATTCAGCACTTGTGCCTCCAATTAAAATGAGTTGATTGAAATAATGAACCATTATTGTGGCCTGCATCTCTGAAATACAATTAAGTTCAAGCGCAGTCCGATGGTCAGTATTTAAAGAAACCATTAAAGCTCTAAGGGGAATTTAAAAATTTAATTACGCCCAATTTTGCAATTTAATTTTGTGATAATATAACTTAACTTTTTTAAAAAAGGCTTCAAATGTTACCTAATTATATAAAACACTCTGTTTGATACACCTAATAGTTTAAAATCCCTCTAAATATTATAATAATATTTTGATTTTTTGATATTTGATCTAAATTTAAAAATAATTATAAAATTTAGAACGAAAGATTTGGAACGATAAATTTACAATATTCTCCTAAGTTGTCTGTAAAATCAAATTGTGTTATCAGGAACCGCTCACATTTAAATTCAAAGACTAATCCGCCGATTTCCCCTTCGTAGCAACCCTAAAATTCGTTACTGACCAACACTAAATACAGTGGTGGTAAACAGCTGAAGAAACATCAATGTTTTAAAATCAGGGAAAATATTTGTTTTACTTTAAAATCCATTAATAGAAAAAATAAATAAATTTACATACTAATATAGGTTTAATATTTCACTTACCCTTCCCATTAAAGTTGCAAGAACATCGATAGTCTCAATATATCGATGTCGCCATTAATGCTTCCACCTCCAAGCAGCTGATCCCTTCCGATGACGTTGCCCAACACTAAAAGAACAAAAAGAGAGGAGGAAAGTACGAAAATCGTTTAAATTTTTCACTCGCGAAACAAGATGTAAAACTAGTGAAATTCGCAGCCCAATTAGTGAGAAAATACGCTGCAAGCACAATGCAAGCGACGAACAGTGAAAGTAAGTGACGAAACCGCGAAAAAGCATGAAAACTGCCTGTGAAAATGTTCAAATTTTGGTCCATGGTGCTGGAAAAAGTTAGTGGGGGAGGGCGACGGGCAGAGAGCGAGAGCTGCGCGAGAGAGGAAGAAAAATCAATAAAATTGTCGTGGAAGCGCGATTGAGTGGAGCAAAACAAATAACACCGACGAATGTGTGAGCAAAGCGGACAGCAGGAAAGGAAACAACAGAGCGGCCGTTAGCTGCCCCAAATGTGTTGGCGGAAAAAAAGAGAGAGAGAGAGAAAGGGGAGCTCTTGAAAACGGAGTTGAAGTAAACAAACAAGTGCGCATTAAGTAAACCTCGAACAGCTGTCCCGTTCATGGAAAAGGCAAACATATAAATAAATGCAAATAATATGCAGTTGTTGGTTTTGTTGTTGTCGCCCACACTTCCTGTGCACCCACACACACCACACACACACACACACCCAAGGCAACGCTCGCTCGTTCATTCACTCCCCGAATTAAAAAAGTAAATACTCGTATGTAATACAACGAAGGCACTTTATTAAACCGTGACTCACCTCCAACGGCCGCTAATTAGACAGCGGCAGCCGTGGAAATAGAATAGCTGCGAAAACAAGTAATAACGCTAACTACTGCAGCAATATGTGCGAAACTGGGATTTGTGAGCCACTTAAACAACTCAATTGACGGTGTTGTGATTGTGTTGGTGCCGTGAACGAACGCGAATGGAAGTGTAAATGCTAAATTAATACCCGAAAATCCATCCGTAATTCCCTACACTTAACTGGGGAAAATCCAGAGTGGAATTTGAGCTGATTTGGCATTTTTTACACATTTTACCATTTTTTAGGGTCAAGTTTTTTACTTTCCTATATTTGATTATTTATTTATCTTTGTGTGCATTTTTTTATCAGTCAGTTATACGATAAATACAGAAATTCACACACTTTATTTACATTAATGACTCTGGAAGATGTTGCAAACATTGTTAATAATATGGTTCATACATTAACAGTTTGCAATTTGAAATTTGATCATAACTTAGTCAAAATTTCTTAAATTTCTATTCGGAATACTGTTCTGTGTTACTTTTTATAAGGCTTTCAAGTCTACATACCAAAATTCAACATTTAAAAAATTTAAAATTTTCTTGAATTTTTGACCAATTTAACAATTAAAAAAATTAAAAATTTCATCAAAAATTTATTTTCTCCAAACATAGCTAGATCGACTAGGCTTATGATGCTGATCAAAAATATATATGATTTATAGGATCGGAAATGAGTCCCTAACTGCTTTTGAAGCTTCTGAATGATATTATAATAACCTTTAAGTGAATAAAATTTCAACCAACTATCGAAGAAAAAAATCTTTTTACATTTCTATCTCAATTTCAATTAAAATTAAATACTTTTTCAAGGCAACTCTATATTTGCTTTCTAATGATTCATAAACATTATCTCCATTCCAGACTAAGGACATCGCAAATCAAACACACACAGAGATGAATGTGATGCGCAAACTGCGCGGCGCTGCCGGAGCAGGAAGTGTCGGAGGCTCTTCCGCCGCCAACAATGGCACTCCCATCGGAGTAACCAGATCCACCACAGATTCCGGTTCCTCGACAGGCGCCAATGGAAGGGCAGGAGCTGGAGAGGAAGCGCTGCTGGATGCTCGCATTCAGATGAGCTTGAGTACACTAAAGAAGCTATTCAATGAATACACTCATCCAAAGGAACCTCTAAGCGAGCAGGAACGCGATGGAAAACTTTACGAGATGCTGCCCCTCTTCTGCAAGGTAAGTGAGTTACTTTATCAGACCAGGATTGAAATTAACGACTTCTATTTGCAGGTTTTCAGTAGCTGTCCGGCTAACGACATGAGTGAAAAGTTCTGGGACGTGGTCGCCTTCTGCCAGCAGGTCTCACGTCTAATGGTCAGCGAGATCCGGAAACGAGCCTCCAACCAGAGCACAGAGGCTGCATCCATAGCGATCGTCAAGTTTCTGGAGGTGGAGACCACGGAGGAAACTAGCAGCGGCTGGATGCTTCTTGCCACGCTTAATTTGCTGGCCAATGGAGACGTATCGCTAATACAGGTATAAAGAATATGTATGCCATTTATAAAACCGATGTCTGGTCCCCATTTGTATATTATTATTGTGAGCCATTTCGCTGAGAGATTCAGAATAAGGCTGGTTCGAAGAACTTGAAGAGCAACGTTGTATATTTTTCATGGAAAAGCTTCAAGCTATTCAACACTTTGAAAATAACTAAAACGTAGAAGAGAATAGCAACACAGAATAGATGTTCTTAGAGTTTAGAGAATAAACAATGAGAAATCAAAGTTTACAGACTCATAACTAAGCCAAAAAAGCATTAATTTTTAATCGGAAAACTTCCATAGTTTTTATTAGGGTAATAAAACTGCTTACTAAATTTAGAAATTTCAAAATGTTAAATTTGTATCAATTTTTTTTTACAATTTTAACGATTTCACCCCTTATAACATTTTGAAAAAATTAAACATTTCCTTTTCTGCCTAAGATGGCTATATTGACGTGGCTGTTTATGCTGATCAAAAATATATATGATTTATAGGGTCGGAAATGACTCCTTTATGGTCTTAGAAGCTTCTGACTGAAATTATAGGGTATATTAAGCCCAAGAATAATGGAAGCCCCTGTCGACAACTTTGAAGGGTATTATTTGCTTTATGATACGCTGTTTCATATATGTCTGAAGCCATTTGTAAAGTTGTTTACTTGAGCAGTCTGTCTTGCGCAATAAGCTTTTTTTCGCAAAATGTAACATAAACCTCAATGGAAATTCTTATCAATCTGTGTATTTAAAAAATTTTATAATTGTTTGTCCAAAAATTACTGTAACATAGTTTGTGCTACATTTAACAAGTAAATAATTTTATAAGTAATGACGATTAACGAAACATATTCAAGTTCTTCAGATTTCTTCAGATAATTAAGTGTATTTATGTAACATGCAAAGACTTTACTTAGTTCTAGTCCTCTGGTTTTTCGGGAGACTCTTCGCCTCCTCGTTTTTTACCTTTAGTTTTCCTTTTGAAAGATTTCGATTTAAGCTTGGCAGGGCTAGTCCTTGGCGAAGACTGGGCTTCTCCTTCCTTTTCTTCTTCATTATTAGAATCACGAAAGCGTACACTTGAGTCACGGTATGACTTTCGATCTTCCTTGGGTGCCTCATCATCATCTTCCTCCAAATTCTTGCTCAGAATGCGCGAACTCTGTTCTACCAACAAAATCTCCGACTTTTCCCTGTTTTCGGGATCATCCCAGACGGACGTACTGCGTCTTCCTTTGTGATCCATCACTGGAGGTCTGTCAATGGCATCGCTGCTGTTCTGAGTACTGCGATCCTCGATCTGGGCCCACAAGCTGGACGAGTCGCTGGGACCACGCCAATCGGAGGGATCTTTGCGTCTCTTGGCACGACCCTCTTCTGCGTCGACTGTCAATTCCTCGGATTCACTAGAGTCACTGGTGGTTATTGACGGCGTGGACATGAAACTCTCATCGCTCTCGATGGCAGTCACCGTGCATATCTTCCTACGAACATTTCCCAAAATTATTAACAGGCGTTGCAAACCACCCGGATCCTCCATGTCTGGGATCTGCAAACGCAAGGGCTGAGAGTGGGCCAGATTGAAGTAAAAGAGGCTGTGGCGACACAGGAAGTTGTCGACTGGCCTGGAGAGTACATAGAGTCCGGCACGAGTTCCCGTCCCAATAAGCTCTTTGGCGTTTTCACGTCCCAAGGCCTGAAGCCGCCATTCTCCCGGCTCCAGGCGCACCAGAATGTCAATGACGTGGAACATATGCATCAGATACATGGTGCCAGTGAGCAGCGATGCTATGCTCTGTTCCTTGCAGTGCGCAAAGTGTGGATGCGACATGTACTCAAGGATATCTTTGATGCGGGCCAAATGTGGATCCTCCATGGCGGTCCGCATTATCAGAAGGGCGCAAAAGTAATGGAAGATCACGGCACTGGCCGTTAGCAGCAGTTGACTGGAGAGCACGGTAGCCGGAGAAAGAAGCAACCGAAATGCTCCTAAAGCGGCAATCATAACGTAAGACGTGAATGTGGCGCAGTAAATGAGGACGTGAGGAAGTGGCTCCACCAGATAAAGCGATCCCCTTATGTGGTAGAACATGCACATGCTGCCCATTGCCACCTCGATCAGCTTGAAGAAAAACCAAACCTGGTTCATCTTGAAGGGTAAATTAATCTCTGTTTAGAGATTATACTTCCGAACAGCCGAGTTATAAGCCTAGGTTTACTTTATCAAGGATTGGGGAGACTATCGGACTCTGAACTTGGCTCTGGACTTTTACTAACTATTCCGTCTTTTAAATCAAAACTAATTCCAATGTTTATCTTTTCAGGTTATGACTGCGGCCGCAGTTCCCTCGACGCTGGTTAAGTGCCTGTACCTGTTCTTTGATCTACCCATCGTCGAGGACGATGAGCCTGCGGCGGATGGTGGAACAGTGAGCGATTTTAATGCCCAAGAGCGACGCACTCTGCTGCAGAAGGTGTTTGTCCAATTACTGGTGAAACTATGCTCGTACCCCTATCCCGCCGAGGAGCTGGCTCGGATGGACGATCTGACGCTGCTCTTTTCGGCAATAACATCGCCGTGTCCTATTCACAACATTGTCTGGCGCAAAAATGCAGCCGAAATTCTGACCACCATATCGAGACACGGCTTGACCGATGCCGTAGTTAGCTATATACATTGTGAGTAATCATTTTTAGATTCTATATAAATTAAATACAATATGCAAATAAGTGAGAATGATACTTGATTTTGTGCATTCATTATAATATGAATATGAATGATCTAATTTCACTTGAATGCTCGTGACTTACTTATTACTTGATGATTCTTCAAGAAAGTATTTATAAAATCATTAAACCTTTAATATTTAAAAAGTAAACCTCTCTTTAATACCCAATTTTCTTTATTCTTTTAAAGCCAAGGGCTGCATGGCGCTATGCGTGGACAACATGCAGCGTCTGACGTTCGGTAATCCATTGGAAATCGTCGAAATGTTCGTCACCGTGTTCTGTTTCCTCAAGGACTCTAGTCAGGTATCCCAGATACTAATGGACGACTTTCGGGCTTCCCAAGGCTATGTATTCCTCAGCGATTTTCTGCTAAAGTAGGAACTTTACGCATGTCTTTTTGATTCATTTCTAACCGGCAAAATCACTTCCAGGTTCGACAATAACCGTAGCCAATCGCTGGAGATTCAGGCTGCCATCCGGAACCTTGTCCTGATGATCTCATCGCTGTGCATGTGCGGCTTCTATGAGCTGCGTCCACCGGCGGCCCAGTTCAACACCGGTTTCAAGCTGCAAAACTTTCAGCTGCCACAGGCCACCTCCCGGGAAACGTGTGTCCGGAATGTGTACGCCTTCCAAGTGCTGCAGAACGTGTTTCTTAAGTCGACCACGCCGGCGCTGTGCTGCACCATCCTGGATGCTATCTCGCGGGTGTATCACTCGGAGAATGCCAATTACTTTATTCTGGAGTCGGAGCACACGCTCAGCTCCTTCGCGGAACGCATCCACCTAAAGAGCCCACAGATCCAGGAGAAGTTCTACGACCTGCTGGAGTTTATAGTCTTCCAGCTGAACTTTGTGCCCTGCAAGGAGCTGATCAGTCTATCGCTGCTACTCAAGCACAACCAGTCGACAGCCTGCAGCATCCTTTGTCTAAAGACACTGCTAAACATTCTGCGTCACAACAGTGTATTTAAAGATGTCTATCGCGAGGTGGGAATCCTGGAGATCTTTGTGGGGTGCCTGACACGCTATGCCACCCACGTAATGCAGATTACCAAGGGCGATGAGTCGCTGGTAGTGGAGCAGTCTGCCGACCAACAGGAGGTGGATGAATTGGATACACTGGGCAAGCTCGTCCTGGAAGCTCTAACCATGTTGCTGGGTGGAGGAGCTAACAACAATGCGCAGCTTTTCCGCGAGTACAATGGTGCCAAGTGTGTCCACGAGCTGGTTAAGTTCAAGCACTGCCGTCCGCAGGCTCTAGGAATAGTAAGAGAGCTAATTCTGTCGGCCGGCGGAGACGATGATATGCTGCACGTACTCTCACTCATGCACAGTGTCAGCCCGCTGCAGGTGGAGTTCAAAATCCAGATACTCAACATGCTACTCGGCTGCCTCAAGGATTCGCATCGCACGCGGACCGTGTTCCGCAAGGTTGGTGGCTTTGTGTACCTCACCAGTGTCTTTGTGTCCCTGGATGGCAGCATGGCTCAGCCGCAGCCGGGCATTCCACAGCAGGATCTCATTCTGCTACTGCAGATCGTCTGCCAGACGCTGGCCACAGCCATGCGCTTTGAGCCGGCCAATGCCAAGTTTTTCCATCAGGAGATTAGCAGTAGCTCCCTCTGCGATACTCTCCGTCTGCTGGGTTGCTTTGGAGGATCGTCTGCACTGCAGGACTTTACTGGCGCCTACGAGCCGCAGCAGTCATTGCTCAAGTATTACCACGAGATCTTTAGTGGAGACATTCTGAGCGTCAGGTAACTTTGGATTATATATTTTTTAGGACTACATATTAACCCCATCCTTACTTATCCGTAGCTTCTCGGAGGACGTTCCCTATCCGCTGTCCTATGTGTGCATCGTCTTTCGGCTGCTGTACAGCATTGCCCTGGATAACTTCGAGGCTCCGAATCTAAGCGGCATAATAACGCTCTTCAGTGAGCCTCCAGCACACTCGCGTTCACCGAGCAAGGAACTGGCAACGCCGGCCCATCCCAGTCAACTGAATCTTACGCAGCCAAGTCCCGAGCCGCGCATTGTACATCCAGGCGTGGTGCTGTGCATGCTCCAACTGCTGCCCGCTGTTGAACTGGACGCGGCTCCTCTGCAGGCAGTGCAACTGCAGGTCTACATCAGCGAGATTATCAAGTCACTGGTTCGAAGCGAACGTAACCAACAGATTATGTGTGACCACGGGCTAGCAGAGAAGCTGCTCAAACTGACGCGACGGGCACTGGCCGAGGAATCACATCCACTGCACGTGCCCATGCAATACATTCTGGAGCGTTTGGCCGCACAGGCACTGCAGCCGACCGAACTGCGACAGTTTCTACGGCTGGGTGAACCACTCTCGTGTGCGGATATCGATCTGCAGCAACCATACAAGCAGGGAGGACCTGTCCCACTGACACGCATCAAGACACTGGTCTCCATGACTACGCCACGGGATTTCCGAGCACACGGTTCGAGCACGTTGCCTCCGTTTGTGGAGCTGGATATGTCCGCCGAGGGATTCGGTTGCCTCTATCTGCCATCGTTGGCACCTCAGGCCACGGCCACCGCTGGCGGAACCATTGATGCCAACACCATTGGCGGAATCGGAGCCGGCGATCGGATATTCCCACCACAAACTGGTCTCACCTATTCCACTTGGTTTTGCGTTGAGAAGTTCTCGGATCCAAAGACAGATCCACATTGTGTGCGGCTCCTAACGCTGGTGCGGACCATTCACAATCCGCGCGAGGAGAACCTGGCATGTCTGTCCATTTTGCTATCGGCTCGGGACAAGGCTATTGTTGTGTCTACGCAGGAAACGCTGGTCACGCCCAGAAAAAGTGAGTTTAAAATGTACAATTTGGGAAACACTATTCACACATTCTTTACAGGCATCGGTGACTGGGAGCCAGAGGGTTCGGATGATGGCATTGCTCGCATCTGGTGCCCCGATCTGCTGCACGAGGGTCAGTGGCACAATTTGGTCGTCGTACTCAATCGGGCCGTTCTAAAGAACTCCAGTTTATCACTTTACCTGGACGGAGTGCCCATGCACACCCAGAAGTTACACTATATCGCTCAGCATCCGGGAGCGAGCAGTGCCAACCTAACGTCAGCCACCCAGATCTTTGGCTACATTGGTACTCCGCCCATCTGGCGACGGTACTCGCGTCTGTGCTGGAAGCAGGGCGTGTGCCACCTCCTAGAGGATGTGCTGGCCCAGCAGACGGTGCAAACGATTTACCAGTTGGGACCACACTACATGGGCTCACTACAGGCTCCACAGCTGGGAAAGCAGTCGGAACCGCTGGCTCCTCTGGTGCCCGAGGATCGTGTCCTGTTGGGCCTCAACGCCAAGGCGGTCTCTAAACTCACGCTGGTCAAGATCCGCAAGGTGTACAGTCGGGCGGACAACAAGAGCATCGCCAAACAGTTGAACATGAACTCTCACGAGAATGCCACTCCCATCAAGTAAGTAAACCATAGAAACATTCAAAAATCCAGCTAGTAAATCCTTTATGTTTCTCTAGAATTCTGCACAACTCAGCTGGACATCTGGCTGGAGCTGGTCGATCTCTCGGTGGCGTGGTCGTAGGATACCTGGGCGTGCGGGTGTTCAGTCCGCACCCCGTCTCAGCCATGATCGACACCGTTGGCGGTTGCAACGTGCTCCTTGGCATCATTGCCATGGCCCAGGATGTGGAGTCCTTGTATGCCGGCGTAAAGGCTTTAACCTGCGTGGTTCGCAGCAATCGTGCCGCCCAGGCAGAGATGGACAGGAAGCGCTGCTATCAAACACTGGGCATGTTCTTCAAAAAGAAGAAACACCTGCTTAACTCGCACATCCTGCACCTGACGTTCGGCCTGGTGGGCACGGTAAACAGCCAGGATATGTCGGCCATTCCCAATGTGACTGCGTTCCAAGATCTTTTGTGTGATTTGGAGATTTGGCACAATGCACCAAACGGCCTGTTGCGGTCCCTGCTGGAGCACTTGCTAGAACTGGTGGTGGAGTCCAGCGATAAGAAGCAGAACGTAAAGATTATGCGGGATCTGCAGTTACTGGTGAAGCTGCTGCATATAATCACACAAATCCAGGACCACTCGACGCGTGAGATACTCTTCAGTCTGCTGGAGACTCTCCTGGGTGGACAGCCGCGTCACACGGATCTGCTTCTGTTTGGCCAGTATGTGGCTGCCAAGCTACCACGCGCCCAGGACGGCGGCTTAGAGGCTTCCGTGCTCCTGCCCAGTATGAAGAATCCAAGTGACGACCAGGACGGTGGCGTGGCTCAGAATATATACCTCCGGAACCGCTGCCTCTCCCTGCTGCACGGCCTGCTCTTCACACCCCGGAACACGGTGAACTATGTCATCTGCGACGACATCTCCAAGACCCTGGGCATGGACTGGCTGCTGCTCTTCATGCAGCCGCACGTCCACTTCACCACCGTCATCATCGCTGTACGCATCTTGGTGGTGGTCTGCGCCAACGAGAGCTTCCTGGTGCGCTTTCGGGAGGCCAATCACAACGGCGGCTATTTGCGGTTCACGGAAATGGTGTCCCAGCGCAAGATGGGACTTGGAGCACAGCAGCTCAACCAGCGACCGACCAATGGCACTGGCACAGTAATCGTAGCCACGCCGCAAAACACCATACAGCACCTGCCCACGCAGATAGCCGGTGAAGTGCGAGCGGCGGCCTTAAATATACCAGGCTTTCAGCTTCTCGAATGGCTAATGCAGCACCATCTGGATGTGCCTGAGCTGTATTTCCTGGTGACCGCACTGATAATGGGACAGCCTGTCAAAGTGCTCGCCACCGAACACACCAAGTTCGACCTCGACCGGGTATGGTCATTCCTCTGGGGTGCTCCCGTCTCGGCCAACACGCAACTGCCCAAGCTCAACGTCTGTCCCGAAGGCGTGTGTGTCCTGCTGGCCATGGTGCGCGGCATTGTGCATGGCGGTGAGTGTGCACCCTGGCTACACAGTCATCCGGAGACCATCATCCAGTTGCTGTTCAGCCTGTACCAAAATCTCAGCGATTTTGCGCCCGTGATGATGGCAGGGGATGTGGTCACTTCCCTGGTTGCAGTTCTGTTTCCGCCGACCTCGAGATCTGCAGACTCGGAACCAAACAGCGGAGCCTCCACGCCAACGGATGGTACTGGAAGCAGCTTTGTCCTGCCGCCGCCGGAAAGTCTGCATGGAGCACAGCAGCCGCAGCCAAAGTTGACCGCTCATCCGGTTTGCAAATGCATCATCGACTTCCTGCGAGTCATCGTGGTGGATTCGCTCGGACTGAATATGCAGGGCAAGGCTACGCCAGTCATTGATCTCGTCTTGGATGCAGCTCCAGATACGGCAGAACTTCCGCTGCAGGTACAGTATCAGACGCAGATCATCATCGCCCTGATGGACCACCTGCTGGCCGCGGATGTGCTGGTGGGTGAGCAGGCTGCGCTGCCTCTGGTTCCTCTCCTGCAGAGCCAGACTCAGCACATTGCGCCGAATGTCTTCTACCTGACTGCCCGCATCGTGGACAAGCTGTGGCAGGGCTGCCTCGCCCGTAATCCGCACGACATCTTTGACTTTGTCATCAAACTGATTGCGCAGGCCAAACGCCGCTCCTCGTCGCTCTCGCTGGAGCACCTGCATCACTCGCTCAACCGCAGCATCCTTTTCCTGCTCTCCCGCCCCACCGATGACTCGCGGACCGACCAGGTGAGTGTGTTGGAGGCGCTGCACAAGATCATCCAGCATCGTCTGCTCATCTTCGGAGCCGGAAACCATGAACTGGAGTTTATCGGCTGCCTCACCTACTGCCTGATGCAGCTGACGGCCGACATGAAGATCATCTTAGAGCCGGCCACAAGTCGGAACACAACATGGCACGTCAATCCGCAAACGGAGACAACGGAGCCCAAGGACGAGGATCTCAACCAGCTGCAGGGACGCAACCTAATTGTAGGTGCCGCTTTCCGCGTCTGGGAAGAGCTGTACGTGTGCAAAAAACCAGCCATCGAGGAGGTATTTAAGGTTTCCCTCACACCACCACCGGCGAACTCCAAGGCACCCGATCTTCAGACCACACGGGAGCAGGTAATGGAGCTGGCCTCCAAGCTGTGGTTCAACTATGTCGAGGCGGAACGCAAGGCCTCCTACCGCATGCCCTGGGAGCTGCACACCCAGATTCAGTCGAAGATCCAGAAGGTCACCGGTGGCCTGTCGCGTCTGACCAGCCGGACCAAGGCCAAGAAGGAGGAGCTGGTGCGCACCAAGTCGACAATGAGCCGCGAGGCTGCCTACGAGTCTACCGGCATCCACGTCCAGCTTGTGAAGGATTTGCTCGAACTGCGGACGAAGCAATACCAGCAAATGATGCAGCATACCCAGCGTTATGTCTACCAGGACTGGGTCCAGTCGGAGACGGAACTAACCCGCGAGCGGGGTCTTTGGGGCCCAGCCGGAAGCTGTTCGCTGGACAAGTGGATCCTGGACACCACCGAGGGCCCCCACCGCATGCGCAAGAAGACAATGCGCAACGATGTCTTCTACCTGCACTATCCCTACCGTCCGGAACTGGAGCTGGCGGATAATCGTCAGCTGAAGTACAAGGTGGCCTCCAGTTTGGACAGCAAGACCTATGCACTGCACGGCCAGCAACAGCCCCGCATCCTGGCCGAGGCGGCGTCGGATCAGCATTCGATGCATCAGCAGAGCTCACTGGAGGCAGTACATCCACATCGATTGGAGGCCAGTAGCTCCACATCAACACCCCCGCCGCCCATTTCTCCCAAGCTGGTGGGACACGGATCCACTCCTTATCCCCAAGAGTCGATTGATGGTAACGCACCAGAGGATGACGAGGAAGAGGAGGACACCTCCATGACAAGTGACAATGAGACGTTCCTGCGGCTTCTGGAGGAGCAAGAGAAGATCAGCTTCATGTTCCGCTGTGCAAGAGTCCAGGGACTGGACACTTTCGAGGGCCTGCTGCTCTTTGGCAAGGAACATTGTTACATTGTGGATGGATTTACGCTTCTGAAGAATCGTGAGATTCGGGACATTGACACACTGCCTCCGGGAGCCTATGAGCCCATCATTCCCAATTCCGGTGGCACCTCCTCGACCACTTCGCGGGCCGTAAGCCACAAGCTGCGACAGTGCTCAAAGTTCGCCTACGAAGAGATTCGGGAGGTTCACAAGCGTCGCTACCTGCTGCAGCCCATCGCTCTAGAGGTATTCTCCGAAGACGGACGCAACTATCTGCTAAGCTTTCCGCGTAAAGTTCGCAACAAGGTGAACCAGCGATTCCTGGCGCTGGCCACCGCACTGAACGACAACGCCCAGCAATCGGTGGCGGGACAGAAACGGACAGCCAGCGTGGAGCAGACGGCAGGGATTTTCAGCGGCCTGATCGGTGAGACTTCGGTGACGCAGCGATGGGTGCGCGGAGAGATCTCCAACTTCCAGTACCTCATGCACCTGAACACCCTGGCCGGGCGCAGCTACAACGACCTGATGCAATACCCCGTATTCCCCTGGATCCTGGCTGACTATGACTCGGAGGAGCTGGATCTCACCAATCCGAAGACTTTCCGTGACTTCTCACGTCCCATGGGCGCCCAGGCCGAGGAGCGTTTGGAGCAGTTCCAGAAGCGCTTCAAGGAATGGGATGATCCACACGGAGAGACACCGCCCTATCACTACGGCACTCACTACAGCTCTGCGATGATTGTATGCTCCTATCTAGTACGCTTGGAGCCCTTCTCGCAGCCCTTCCTCAAGCTGCAGGGCGGGCACTTTGACCTGGCGGACCGTATGTTCCACAGCATCAAGGAGGCCTGGCTGTCGGCCTCCAAACTCAACATGGCTGACGTTAAGGAGCTCATCCCGGAGTTCTTCTACCTTCCCGAGTTCTTGAGCAACTTCAACAGCTTCGATCTGGGCACCAAGCAGAACGGAGAGACCCTCAATCATGTCATCCTGCCGCCTTGGGCCAAGCAGGATCCACGGGAGTTCATCCGCCTGCACAGGAGCGCGCTGGAGTGCGACTACGTTAGTCAGCACTTGCATTTGGTAAGTCTAACATCAGTTCTTTGTTGGAATTACTCTAATTGTCCTACTTTCAGTGGATCGACTTAATCTTTGGCTGCAAGCAGCAGGGACCAGCCGCCGTGGACTCTGTCAATGTGTTCCACCATCTCTTCTACGAGGGAAACGTGGATATTTACAAGTAAGTTGAACTTAATTTCTCTATAAACAAGCTTATAATCATTGAATTCCTCGCTTAGCATTGACGATCCGCTCAAGAAAAACGCCACCATTGGCTTCATCAACAACTTTGGCCAGATCCCAAAGCAGCTCTTTAAGAAGGCACATCCCGCCAAGAAAATGGGCAGCTCACGCCATTCGGCGCTCATTGATCCCACGGCTCTGATACAGGGCAACAGCACAGTGCTCCAAACCGATCGCCTCTTCTTCCACAATCTTGACAATCTCAAGCCCAGTCTGCAACCCATTAAGGAGCTGAAGGGCCCCGTTGGGCAGATCCTGCAGCCCGACAAGACCGTGTTTGCCGTTGAGCAGAACAAGGTTATGATGCCGCCGTCGTATACAAAGTACATTGCCTGGGGCTTTGCCGATCACTCCCTCCGAGTGGGGCTATACGACACGGATCGAGCGTCCTTCGTATCCGAGGCGGCGGCACAGAACTCAGGTGAGATCCTGACCTGTGCCTGTCCCAATGCCAAAATGATTGTCACGGCTGGCACCAGTTCGGTGGTGACCATCTGGAAGTTTGACGCGAACCGCAAGAGTCTTAGTGTAAAGCATTCGCTGCATGGACACACAGATGCTGTGACCTGTCTGGCGGCCAGCGCCGCTTACAATGTCATTGTATCCGGATCGAGAGATGGTACTGCCATAGTCTGGGACATGACACGCTTCACCTTTGTGCGACAGCTGCGTGGACATGCAGGCGTTGTGGCTGCCGTGGCCATTAACGAACTCACTGGGGAGATTGCCACCTGCTCGGCTACTTGGCTTCACGTGTGGTCCATCAATGGCGATGCCCTGGCCATGGTCAACACCTGCGTGGGCAGTGCAGACCGCATGCAGCAGATTCTTTGCGTGGCCTTCTCCCAGATCCGTGAGTGGGACCAACAGAACGTGGTCATAACGGGCTCCACCGATGGCGTAGTGAGGGTAAGTGACCTGCGAGCTAATCCAAGCAGTCTAAAATATATTATTCCCTGCAGATGTGGTCTCTGGAGCATACACAGGTTCCCATTGATCGTAAACTGAAGCGAGGAGTCGAGGTCAACTCTCAGGACAAGCCTGACTCGGCATCCTTAGACAGCAAGGACAATAAGGACGAAAAAATGAGCATATTCAAGCAAATCAAGAGCCTATCGCACCCAGAGGAAGAAGAGCAAGGTTCGTTGATAGAATTTCGTTATTTTTCTTCAAAATCCTTAACCAATATTCCTGCCTTTGTAGAAATTGTGAAATCCGCTTCGGAAAGTAGCATTTCAGAGGCCTCTCAGCACAGCAAGGAGTCGAGCAAATCAGCGGAGGCAGGTGCCAAGGCAGAGGAGCCGGTGGTTGAACGCAGGAATAGCTCCATTTCAGGAGCCAAGTCTTTCCATGAGATGAAATCGGCCACAGTAGAAGCACCTGGATGCAGCGGCTCAGATCCCAAGAACAATGAGGGTAATGATTAATGGTTTAATGTATTGTGGATTATTTACTAACATCATCTCTCTATTAACGAATTAGATGAACATGCCATCAGACCGAGCAAATCGGATACAAGCCTAACCGATGGATTTGTTGTTATAGACAATGATAGGCATCATCGAGGTGATCAAGTGCTAAGAAAAGGTAGGATGAATTCCAAAATACCGATGAGTATAAGCAAAGATAATACAACTTTTCCATTGTTTTCCTAGATTTCAATTAAATTATGGGATCGTATCAAATATTGATCATAACTAACTTTAAAGAATTCCACAGTTTTTGAAAATATATAGATATTTTTTATAGACATTGTTTCGCCTAATCAAAATTTAAAAACCTCATAACTAAGTCAAAAATGCATTAATTTTCATTCGGAAAGCTGCCCTGTGTTAGTTTTTATTAGATTAATAAAACTGCGTTATCAATTTCGAAACATAAAAAATTTAATTTTTTATCAATTTTTTTGTGTCAATTTTAACAATTTAAACACTTATAAAAATTGGAAAAAATTAAAAATTTTTGTTTTCTGTTTTAGATGGCTAGATCGATTCGCCTAGTCGCGCTGATCAAGAATATATATAATTCATAGGGTCGGAAACGATTCCTTCACTGCTTTTTAAGCTTCTCACTAAAATTATAATGCTAAATATTGACGTAAATTCAATATATCTCAAAAATCAATCTAATATTCAAAACTTTAAATACGAAAACTTCCGGAAAACAATATTGTGTTTGTTTAAACTATTACAAGTTTTAAGATCTGATTATCCAATGAGTTTCAATGACATTATTTTTATACTTAGGTTTCCGATGGCAACGTCAATTAATGTTCCGCTCAAAATTGACAATGCATACGGCATACGATCGAAAGGATAATGCTGAGCCAGCTAGCATAACAGCACTCACCGTATCCAAGGATCACAAGATTCTCTATGTTGGTAAGTAATGAATAATATACTATAATGTTGCAAACATTAATTTATATCAATTTAAAGGCGATGCCCGTGGTCGTATCTTTTCGTGGAGCGTTACGGAACAACCGGGTCGCGGAGTGGCTGACCATTGGCTGAAAGACGAGGGAGCTGATCAGTGTGTCAAGTGTCATGTCAAGTAAGTTGCTTATAATATACAGAGAAAGTCATGTTTGACTATTTATATTTCTCAGATTCACGCTCTATGAGAGGAAGCATCATTGCCGAAACTGTGGACAAGTGTTCTGCAACAAGTGCAGCCGGTTCGAGTCGGAGATCTCTCGCCTTCGCATCCTGAAGCCAGTTAGGGTGTGCCAGGCTTGCTATAGCCAACTGCGAACGAATTCCTTTGACAATTAGGGGAAAAGCAGCTTGGAGATGCGTTTATGTGTAACAGAAAAAGACGTTAGGGACTTTTAATTAACTTATTTAATGCAATTGTATTTTAAATTCTCTGTTTTATATATTTTTTAACCAAATCAAGTTGAGCTAATTTCAACCAAAGGCTGTTATATGATTTTATATTTTATTAAACATAAGTTAATCGAATTTTTTTACACACAACCAAGTTGCAATATAATTTAATGCTTATTTATAACTATTTATATTTTATACACCGAATAAAAACCAATTAACGTTGCTTATTCACCCGCAAGCATTGACAATTTCTAGTTATGTAAAACAAAACACTATAAATATTGTGTAATTAATGGTAGAACCTCGATGCATGTAAGAGAATCGCTGCTTACCCATACGGCCAGCGCACAAAACTAACAAATATCGTAATCGAAGCTTAATGTTTCCCCCAGCGAAACCATCCGCTGAAACAATAAATGAACACACCAAGCACCGCCAGTTATATCAATTACAAAATGAACTCAAAACACTTTTATAGAAAATAAAGACAGCCAGTTTACAAAATGAGAAGAGCCTGGCAAATTTTGCAGGATCGGATACGAACACGTTTTAGCACACAACACAGAAACCTCACACTGAACTCTACAAAATAAATACTTCTAATGGCATGTAGATTATCTCAGCATTACTTTCAAACGCAAAGTAATAAAAGCAATTACAAAAAATATTCTATAAATGAGTCCCTAAATGTGTAAGCAATCTTTCAAATTGCTGAGGCAAATAATACAATAAATGTTTAGCCATTCTCTCGATGATGATGTTCTATATAATTCCGAAGAAACATTCAGTCTACTTCAGTGTTGTGGCCTCTAAAGCATTCACTTCCTTCCATCGACTTATTCAAATAGTGTAAATATAAAAGACAAATAATAATAAATGCATAACAATTAGACAATGAATTTAGATAAATAAATATGTAGAGATTGTAGAGAAAGCATTAACAAAAAAATTCGGTATTTTGTAGAGAATCTACATGTTGCATTGATAATAATTTACAAATATTATGTACTTGTGGCAGTTAATATACATTTATATAATATAGTCTCCCGTCTATTCTGTCGAAAACCGAACTCTATCGAAAGACTTGAGCATCACCGAAGCCCCAAAGACACTCTACGAACATTTCAATGAACTATACCCATGCAGCTAAAAGACTTCAAATATTACATTTCAAATAAAGAGGAAGGGAGGAAAAATCCTAGCCACTTAAGTCCAATACGAATGAACACCACACACCAAAAACATAAGAGCAACCTATACCTAATAAATAATAACCTATATATATTACCAAAAAGAATTATATGAATATAAATACAAGAAATATATATTTACTGTTAGTTTGTGAGATACAAAACATTAATATGGCGACAAGCAAAATGGGCAAAATACAATTTAATAAAATGAACTATGTTAACTGAATTTGGCGTTTTTAATGGGATGAAAGGGGTTCATGGTAAGTAACTATGATCAGTAAGTATCAATGATCATTATGAAATTTTGATCAGTAAGTATCTATAAGTAGTAAGTAAATCTTAACAGTAAGTATCTATGACCATTAATTAACTCTGAATAGTAAGTATAAAAGAACGTTAAGTAACTCTGATCAGTAAGTATCTATGAGCAGCAAGTAACTCTGAACAGTAAGTATTTATGACCAGATACTAACTTTGAACACTAATAAACAATGACTTGCAACTTTTGTAACAGAACATATTTCTGAGACTTGGCCGGCAGAACACACTTCGTTCCGGGGATGTTAGAACAAGTTGGGAATCATATGATATGAAGATTACCTATAAACAGTAAGTATCTATGACCAGTAATTAACTCGGAACAGTAAGTATTTATGACCAGTAATTAACTATGATCAGTAAGTATCAATGAAGGTTAGGTAACTCTGATCAGTAAGTATCTATGAGCAACAAGTAACTCTGAACAGTAAGTACGTACTAACTTTTAACACCAATAAACAATGACTTGCAAGTTGCAACTTTTGAAAACTTTAAAACGGAACAAGAAGAAGAACAAAATAATTGTGTTTGCTACGGTGCTTAAGTACACTGGTTGAGAAGCGCAGAGGAGGACACTTTATTAAGAGAGAGTAAATGCGAGGAATGTATTATTTTTGAGAGAGAGTACAAGAGAGCAAACACAGTTTGGTTTTTTGAGAAACGTAGGGAAAGTCTCAATTTTTATATATATGTGATAATTCCGTAAAATTGATCAAAAATATAACATACTGACCCTTGGTTTTTGTTCTTTTTTATACCCTTGCAGGGTATTATAATTTCAGTCAGAAGTTTGCAACGCACTGAATGGGAAACTATAACTTTTACAGTTTTTAACATATTTTACTTAATTTGATTCAAAACTATCTTTTATTATTATAGAATTTCGTTTTTAGTTTGGAATACTATATGATATAACTACCAGCGAAACGGTTGTTAAATGTAGAGCATCAGTGAGTATCTTTCAACAGTAAGTAACTATGATCAGTAATTAACTATGAGCAATAAGTATCTATGGCCAGTAAGTATCTATGATCATTAATTACCTATGAGCAGTAAGTAACTCTGAACAGCAAATATCTATGACCAGTAAGTATGTATCTATGATCAGATACTAACTTTGAACACTAATAAACAATGACTTGCAACATTTCTGAGACTTGGCCGGCAGCAGTCACTTCGTTCCAGAGATGTTAGAACAAGTTGGGAATCATATGATATGATAATTAACTATGAACATTAAGTATCTATGACCAGTAAGTATCAATAACCAGTAATGAACTCTGAACAGTAAGTATTTATGACCAGTAATTAACTATGATCAGTATGTATCAATGAACGTTAAGTGACTCTGATCAGTAAGTTTCTATGAGCCACAAGTAACTCTGAACTGTAAGTATTTATGATCAGTGACTAACTTTGAACACTAATAAATAGTGACTTGCAACTTTTGTAACACAACACATTTCTGATACTTGGCCGGCAGCAGTCACTTCGTTCCTGGGAAGTTAAAACCAGTTGGGAATCATATGCACACATGCGCGAGATTTGTTTTGGAACAAATTTAAGAGCAAACTATTTAAATAAAACTATGAAGTTATTCTTCTCTATAATTTTACTACTATATAAGTCGGAGCATGTCGAATCGGTGCACTTGTTAATTACTAAAATAATTGGAATCTTATCAAATAAATCCATTTTTTTGTATAAAAGGTAAGATCTAAAATTACCTAAATATTCTGTTGTAAATAGGTAAATAATTTTTAATATCCAACTATTTTATTCATTTCATTTTCTTTGTACAATAAACCATTTAAATGGAAAAATTATTTTAAAAGTATGGAGAAGTATATGTACTATCTTTCCTCGGGAATAATATACATTTGTTATGCCTTTATAGAAAGCAAATTTCCCAATTTTTTTACGTCTCCCTTAACTAAGAAAGAAAAAGTAAATTTTTAGTTTGTGTATGTGATGATATTTTTGATTTCACTGTTTTGGCAGAGAGGTAAATTTATGAATGTCAATGAGAATTTTTAATGCACCGTATCGTATTCCTCGTTTGTGCTTAGCTAGCCTGTCTTCTGTATCCTATCGTGTCTTGAATAAGTAAAGGCTTCCTTGCCTGGTTCAGGGTTCGATGGAAGCGCCAGCTCTTTGATGCTAGCGTCCATAATTCTGCCAGTTTAGATTGGAGCCAGACTGTCCGATGGAACAATGACCGCCGAGACAGCAGTTACCACCAGGACAGCCACGCTGGCCGATCATGCCCTGACCTTGACCCTGAGCCTTAGTCTGGGTCTGCCCCTGTCCCTGACTCTGGCTCTGGTTCCGGTTCTGACCCTTGTCTTGGTCCGAATTGCGTGGACAGATGCCACCTGGACAATTGCTGCAGGATCCAAAGTTATTGTTCGATGGCCGCTGTGAGTAGCCGCTGTAATTGAAGTTGCTCCCATTATTATTATAATAGCCGTCCATGGTCCCTGGGTAAAATAATTATTCTTTTATTTTAATATCGATTACTTAAAAACTATATTTACCTGACAAAATTTTGAACTCTAAACCTGACACTAAAATAGCGCTGGAAAATTTATTGGTTAAACACAACTGATTTGGTTGAGATGGTCGAAATGAATGAGCTCTGGGACGTTGCCAGTGCCGACAGCTAGGGAAAATGTAAAGTCAAAGCCTTCTATATTTCGATAAATTTCCTTTTCGCCTCTCACGACTGAGCGCATGCGCACAAATGTAAAGTGGTGAGTTTTCATTGACAGCGGAGGAGGCGTGGCCTCTTGCCACTCACACACAGGAGCGTGAACTTTGAGCTGGTGGGAGGTCGGTGGCATAGAAAAATGCGACTTCTTGATGCCGCAAATTTGCCATGTGTGTGTGTGTGTGGAAAGCGGAGGAGAAGGACGATTGAGCTGGGTGTGGGTTTGGGTGAGTTACGAGCAACGTCGACGACGACGCCTGCAAATGACTTTGCATTCTGACTGGTTAATATAACCGCAGGATTGTATTGTGGGGTTTTTTGGGGGCCAGGGTTTGGGTTATATATACGCGCCATGTAACCACCGTCGTTGGGCCAAATGGCCTGTGTAATGGACACGGGGCTAATCCCGAGGACGCCACCCCACAAACCGACTTACAAGACTCCACCCCTAAGCCGAGTGGCATGTGCAAGACGTTCAGCCATCCCGCTCACAGTGTCGCAGAAGTCAGTTCAATTTGGATGAGAGTCAGTAAATCAACCCCTATCAACATACCAACAACATGGGGCATTGGGCCCAACCGACCGACCGAAAGGCCGCTCGCCATGGCTTCTCTAGCCAGTGTCGGCTGGGGAAACGCCATTGCGGGAAAATGCCCCACACCCCCCCCCCCAAACTCTAACGCCCACGCAGTCATGACCCGGATACATACATACATACATACATACATATATGAAATGCTATATATTCCGCCCACATATGCCATATCCATTACCTCAACTACTACTACTACTGTGCGAATTGCTACTCTACTTAGCCAAAGTTGGACACTTTCGCTATGCGTAAGTTGTAAGATGGGAAATGGTTTTAAAGTTTGGAATTTATAAGATCATTCTCTATTATAAAAAAATACCCAAGAACGAATAATAATAAATCAAAATAATAAATAACACAATTATTGCTTACTTGTATTATTATTACTAACTTGTCAGGATTTAAAATAAATCAAATTTTAAATAAAATCAAAACAAAATAACTGTTTTAATACAGACAATATAACAATACTATTAGAAATAAATTCTTTAAACTAATGGAAAATTTGAGAGTATTGAATTTGTTTATTTTATTTTACTATTCATCTTACTAGAACCAATTATATTTGAAGTATTTATATATATCATATGTATATAATATTGAGTCACATATTTCAATTCATAAATTTGAGTGAGATACAAACAAAGTTGCAGTACCTATCAGATACGAGAATAATCTAAATTTTATTTTTAACAAGAAAGGAAGCTAACTTCGGCACGCTGAAGTTTATATACCCTTGCAGATAGAACTTCTATGAATAGGAATCCACACAATATAAATTAGATATATTTGTGTTAAAAAACAATGAAGTAATACCTGCTTTCATTTCATTCACCTATACATATTATATTTGCAGTTTTACATTCACAGATTTGCATTTTTTATTTAATTGTATTAATTTCTCGATCGTTCCTATGGGAGCTATATGATATAGTAATCCGATTTTCATAAAATTTTACACAAAATTTTAGAATAATATGAAATGGCTATATTTCAAATTTGATTAAATTCTGTTGAAAACTAAAAATGTTATCTCCACCGCGATTGTCAGTCTTCCGACAACAGCCGCCGCCATTCTCATTCCTCTCAAATTTCTCGATCGTTCCTATGGGAGCTATATGATATATTAGTCCGATTTTCATAAAATTTTACACAAAATTGTAGAATAATATGAAATGGCTATATCTCAAATTTGATCAAATTCTGTTGAAAACTAAAAATTTTATAATTTTTTTTGTAAAACTTTTCCGATCATTCCTATGACAGCTATATGATATAGTCGTCCGATCCGGCCCGTTCCGACATATATACGAGTGAGAGTATATAGAAGACTAAGTGCAAAGTTTCATTCAGATAGCTTCAAAACTGAGAGACTAGTTTGCGTAGAAACGGACAGACGGACAGACGGACAGACGGACATGGCTAGATCGACTCGGCTGTTGATCCTGATCAAGAATATATATACTTTATATAGTCGGAGGTGCCTCCTTCACTGCGTTGCAAACTTCTGACTGAAATTATAATACCCTGCAAGGGTATAAAAACATCATTAAAATAATTTTAGATTAGTCCTTAAATGCTCACTAAAACTGAGAGAAGAGAAACAATCAGATTTATTATATTAAACTAAATTACGCGCTCAATTAAATATCGAAAATATCGGCAACTACAATGTATCGAATACTTAAATATCCTAAAAATGTTATTTATGTCTTTTCAAATATATTATAGTCCGATTATCAAATATAGTATTTATTAAAAGCACACAACATTAAGGTATGGTATACCTAACTTGGCCCATATTTAACTATAAAGGATATAAATATAAAAATATATAAAAAAATTACATCTTTTGTAAATAAATTTATTTTTTTTAACTATCAAATAATACAGAAAATACCTTTAACCCATAATTAACCCATAAAACCCCGTTTAAAATCATTTCCCACAACACTTAACCCAATTTAAATACTTAATCAAACGGTTTCCCTCTGCTTAATGGACCCCAAAAGTGTAGCGTCCTTTCGGCAGCTGAGATCCTGACTTTAGAACTAATAATCCGACAGCCTACAAGCAGCGCCTGCTCCTGCTCCTGCCACCCAGCAAGGAACAACAAAAAAAAAAAAAAGGAGAAAAAAACTGGGGGAAAAAAATGAGAGAAGCCAGCTGAGTGCGAGTCCTCTGCCGGCGGAAGATATTTCCAGAGAACAGGAGCAGGATGCCCGAGTGAGAGGTCCTTGCGCGAGAGCAGGACAGTAGCAAAAGCAGCAGCAGCGGCATACCAACACAAAGGCAGACCAGACTCGTTCCACGGCTAGCTTTTCGTCATTCTTGACATTTTGTGGTGAATTGTCGAAAGCCACAGGATATGCGCGACAGTATGTCTGTGTGCGTGTGTAGGTGTGTGTGTGTGTGGGTGTTGGGTGGAACGAGAGCAACATAAAAAAAAAGAGAAACAAAAATGGTGGACGGCAGGAAGTCTCCTCATTTGCTGTAATCGCATCAGGCCGGGACACTGAAAAAAGGGCGTTTTCCGGTTGGCTGCCCGACTCGCTCCCTCTCTCTCTCGCTCTCTCTGTGTGTCTGTCTCTGTTACTCTCTCTCTCTCTCTCTCTCTCAGTGCGGCAGGACCTTCTGGGTGAGTGTGTGCGTGTCCACCACACCATCTCTGCAGCTGTATGTGTGTGTGTGTGTGTCGATGAGAGTGGGTGGCTTTTGGGCGGCGGTCCACTCTCAAGGGATGAAATGTAACATTTGGTAGCTTTTCGTAAATTTTCGACTTTCGTTTGGTTTTCCCTCCTTGCTTTTTTTTTATTCGTTCTGTTTTTGTTCATTTTCCTTTTTGGCCAGGATCTGGGATCTCGACGCTCTCTGCTGCTTTTCAGTGTTTCCCCCATTTCGCCTGTTTTGTGGCTTTACAAGGGGTTGGGTTGGGTTTGCCCGACTGCTGTCTGGCGCTGCCTTTGGCTTTGCTCGCCCTCCTGTCAAATTGACTGCAAAAAAGGACCTCTCCTTGGCAGCTTCACTTTCGTAATTGGCGGTCTGTTCGCTGCTGGCTCTGCCATAGCCATAGCTTCCCATTTCGGTCGCCTCATTCGCAGTTGGTCCGTCAGCCCATGCGATCCGTGTTCGCACCCGCAATCGCAATCGCAATTGAAATCGGAATCGGAAACACAATTGCATCCGCACCAGTTTTAGCCTTTTACCCAGCGGCAGGAAATCGCGTCGGCAACGAAAAGACATTCCATTAATAGGAACCCTTTTACCTTAGATAGTTGAAAATTTATAAAAGTGCGCACTGTGGAACGTAAATCTAAGCAAACTGGATACTCTAGGCTTCAAATATTTCCATCAACGGAAAATGGGCACAGGTAAAGTGACAACGGAAATTTCATGAAAATATGCGTCGGAATTTCTGATGTGACAAGAAACCGTCGGTGATTGGGATATTACAAAGTGACAATGAAATTTAAATGAATTACAAGTTAATATGATAAGCTCAGAACATTATTCAATGGAATTTTTATAACCATGAAATTTGTAATTTAACCATTTCACTCCTTAAAATATTAAGGTGAAAGATATACACTAAATAAAACAAAAGCGTATTGCAAAAGATGTAAATTTAATTTACATAACTTGTTTATAAAATATTAAAGCTCCTAGTCAGGTAATGAACACAGATCCGATTTTAATAAAATTCAATACGTCATTTTAAATTCATAAAAATTTATAGATGTAGGATTATGTGCGCATATGTGGAAAGTGATTCTTGTTTTCTTTTTTAGCTGACAATACAAGGAAGATTATAAGGAAATTTAAACGCGAACATATCCCAAATTAAGAGACCATTTTGGGTAAATGTTGATAGGCAGATAGGATAAACTCTCTAGATTGGCATGACAATTGATATTGTTTTTTAATATATTAAAATAAATATTTTTAAGGATGCAAAATATGAGTTCTAAAGTTCTGATTAAAATTTTATAAAACGGAAAAGTGTTTCAAGTATAAACAGTATATTTAATGACACAAATATGTAAAATGTTATTTAAAATCAATTTAAACATCTAATTTTCTACTTTAATAAAATCGTATTAATTATAATATTGTCGGTTTAGATGATCATAAATATAAATACTTTTGGGATCGAATGTTTTTTATGATACGATTCGAAAACGAGAAGATTTTAAAAACCAGAAAGGAAGCTATCTTCCGGAAGACAAATTTTTAACTTTAATCGATCATAACAAGCCAAAAATGCATTAATATCAATTCGGAAAGCTGTCTGATGTTAGTTTTTATTATTAAAAAAAATTAAATTTGTATTTAAAATTTTTGACAATTTTGATCCCTCAAAAACTTTGAAAAAAATTTCGAAAATTAATTTTTTTACCAGACATGGCTAGATCGATTCGTCTTTTGATGCTGATCAAAAATATATATGGTTTATAGGGTCGAAAATGACTCCTTCACTGCGTTTTAAGCTTTTGACTAAAAATATAAGACCTTTCATGGGTATAATTAAAAAATGAACTTAAATAAGTTTATTTACTAATTTTTGTTTCTTGAACACATAAAATATTTTTATTTACAATTAAAATATATATATTTTATGTTTAACAAAATTCTTCTACCAAATATATCAGATAAATTATAACATTTTTCAAACTTCTAATTTTCACTCCCCCTCAGTTTGCCACTTAAGTGATTTTGATTTTTGAATTAACCCATTCTAAAAAGTCTCACGCCAAAAATGCAAAACTCTCACGTTTTTCCCACACCCATCCTGGGTGACAAAACTCCTTTTTGCCTATCAAAACATGTCCGAGATTTCCATACCAGCTCAAAGACCATATTGTTTAAGGTTGACACAAAAATACATAACCCACATGGTTTCGAACTAACCAAAAAAATGGGTCGCAAAGCAGAAAGTGGCATCATAAATAAACAGAAATATGTAAAATCAACAATATACAATTTTTAAAAAAGAAAACAAATGGGCCTGCAAAAAAACGGTCCGCGGTCAAAGGTGCTGAGGGTCCTTCCGATGCAACCCCGAAGGACGCAACTCTGACACGCACTGCCACTTGAGAGGTGTTAACACGCAGCGGACAATTGCCAAGGCAAAAGGGTGTGAAAATTGGCAACACGCGCCAACCTGGCCAGCCGCCTCCTTTTTGAGCCCAAACCATCCCAAAGCCGCAGAGCCTGAAACCAACCCGACAGCGACAATATGTCAAATGTCACAGGACAAAGGACCACAACAAAGGGCGAGCGTTTTATTTTGACAAGTGCCAAGAGTGTTGAACTTAATTTGCGGAGCGTGCCAGTCAAAGGGCTGTGCGATCCTTGCTAATCCGCGGCAAACACACTAGCAGCAGCGCCACAAAGTAGGCAGTGCCATTGGCAAACACACTCGAAGACCTCCAAGGATAAGGGGATTAAAGCTTAATAGAAGTTAAATAAGCCAAAGGAAGTCTTAAAGATAATATTCTACATTATGCTTATTTATTGAAAATGTTGTTTTCAAAAATATGGCATTGTTTTACGATCCTGCTCGATCTTTTACTTTTGTTCTCAATGACTGGATAGAGTTGTGAGTTATGGAAAAGGATATAAAGTGGATTATTAAGGAACTAAATAGGTCCACGGTCTGTTTTAATGTTCCACAACAACTTTCGTTTTAAATTTTATCTATAGATTTTGTTGAAACAGAACAGAAGGATATGAGTTATATTATTATATAGTCAGTCGATACTAATATAAATATATATGTATTTATTAGTAGACTTATGGACGTGAAACCGTAAAAATAAAATAATGAACACATTAATAATATTTTTACACTATAATAATAATATAATAGGTAGCAAGAATATGTATGTAAACATTTTAAAATTAAAATTCAGACTGCAGAACATGAATATATCAAGATTTTGCTCTCCTATATCTCAACAGAATATTAAAATATTAAGTTTAAATATATCTCGCTTAAGACCTTGATATTTGACCCAAGTTATTTGATTTGCATAATGATTATTTTATTATTTTAATTTCAACAATATTTATATTATATCCCCACTAATTATAATACATTTCCCCTGTTTTTCAGCTGGTGATCGTCTGCTAGACATACCCTGTAAGGTCTGTGGCGATCGTAGCTCTGGAAAGCACTATGGCATCTATAGCTGCGATGGTAAGTTCACCCCTGGGGAAAGGAGGATACATACAAAATGCCAGTGTAATCTAAGTTAATACCTTTCAGGCTGCTCCGGTTTCTTCAAGCGGAGCATTCATCGCAATCGCATTTACACCTGCAAAGCCACCGGCGATCTGAAAGGTCGCTGTCCCGTGGACAAAACCCATCGGAATCAGTGTCGCGCCTGTCGCCTTGCCAAGTGCTTTCAATCGGCCATGAACAAGGATGGTGAGTAGAGTGTTACATCCTTTTGGAGTCCCCTCCACGGCCCCCTTGTTGGCTTTGTTTTACTTTGCCAAAACACACTTAATTATGCAGCAAATTAGCTCGAGAAGCCTCTGCTCGCCCACGTCAAGGTTTTTTGGGCATAAATTACATTAAACTCGGTAACCAAAATGCCGCGGGCTTCCTCCGGCTCTCTCCCTCTCCAACAATTGTGGCCAGGCCGGGAAAATGCCATTTGAATTTTTGCTGTAGTTGTCATTAAGCTGATTATAAATTATGCGGAGCCCCAATCCCGCGGTCGTGACTTGGGGGCAAAAAGCCTTTTTTGGGGGGAAAATGTGTTTGAAACGGATTTTTGTAGCTTTTCCATGGAGTAGGGGTATGGAAGCAGCAATTATTATTGTCAATATACTTTGATTGTTACAACGATTGGGGAAAGGGAGTGTAGATTTTCCAAGATGACTAACAATGAGATACTAAATGAATTATATATTTATGAGCAGGTTAACTGATATATAGGATTGGTTATTTGAAGTGACTAGAAAAGGGTTTGCGGCTTCAGAAAAAAATAAATTGTATATATCCTTAATTTTGTAATTCCTTCAAGTTCTTTTGAATCTTCTAATGAGTAAATCAAAGTTCAAAAATCAAGTCAACAGTTTAAACAAAAGCTTAAACATATGACTAACAGAATATTAAAATCATCTATTTAAAATATTGTCCACAAAATATTTTCCCTGTGTTATTTCTTTGGTTTTATTGCGTTTTATAGACTCAGAAATATATGAATTAAAAAATATAATCAAGGTTACAAAGATAATTGAAGCTCTTCAACAATTAACAATAAAACATAACAATTACACCGATGAGTTTTGATTTCTACGGCCCTGTAAGAAATCTGAAACAGATCTTAAAAGATGCTAATTATTGTTCTAATATTTAGAATTAGAATATTTAGAATTGAGTACACCAATATTTAGAATTAGTTTTTCATAAATATGTAAACTATTAAAGAACCAAAAAAGAAGCATTTCGATAGTATCCAAATCCTGGAGTTTTCAACAGTCAAATTCCAAGTGCAGACATTAAACCTGGTCTCCATCCTCATCCCCATCCCAGTCCCAGTTTCCATTTTCCATTTCCATCTACGTTCACACACTCAGCCCGTAATCGGCAGTCGGATAGCCATAACCAAACCGAATACACAACTCAATGCAACAATGCTAGCTTTAAAGCTCTTAAGCCAACATTAAATGTAGCATAAAAACACATAATAGCGATGAACACTCGTGGACAGTCCAAAAGGCGGAGAGAGACGGTGGGTCTTTAGCCGACTACATATTCCGGAGCCAAGCTCGGATCGGGGATTCGGTATTCAGAAGCCACCATTGACGGGTTCACTGCACAGAAGAGCCGGGACGAAAAACAAGGGCGACACAAGCATCAGCGTGAGAATCGCTGCAGATTTTCTGGCACGCACAGTCAGCCCGCCCTTCTTTTTGGGCTAAAAGAGGGTCGATTGACAATGTGCACTTAATAGCGGATTACACGCATTATCCGCTCGCTGAAAATGCGACTAAAATGTATTGGCAATCAAGTGATGATGCCCAGCGACCGAACTTAGACGTCAGTCGTTTCAGGGACTTCAAGGACCTTCAGCATAGCAGATCCGTGAGCAAAGTTAGTCCTTCCCGGCTGACGATGGCTGGTAGACCAAGCTCATGGGCCACCAAAAAAAAAAAAGAAATGGGGACGAACTACAAAAGGACAACGGGCCAAGGAAAAACAAAACCAGTTAACAGGACACGGAAGGGGAACCGACTAGAAAATGCTCTTTTTTAGACTTCAATTGAAAGTGATCTAGGATTAGTGATGAAATTTTATTAAATGCAAGTTAAAAACTTGAGGATTCTACTAAAATAATATATAATAAAGAGTCAGTTACACCCTTTACTACATTCTATAAATATATATATAATAACATTAATATTTTATATAATATCATATCATAAATTTCTAAGATTAAATCTCATAAGACTGTATTATTATCCTTTGAAGTTTCCAATGATTATCCTTGCTCAGAAAGTTAAATTTCGTGTTAATCCAACTTTTATTATAACCTTTCTTGTATTTATCCTTCAAAACTTCCCCCAAAACAACAAGGACTCTCCCCAGTTAGAGCAAAACAATAATGGCAGGGATCTGAGCATGCTATGGCGTTGTCCTTATTCCCTTACATTCTTTTGGGGGAAATTTTCTTAGTTTGCCGCTACAAAGCCTCATGTTAGGCTGCCTTTTTGGGGTTTTTCTTGGCTGGTTGCCGTAAATAAACAACAAACACACATGGACGCCAAACAATTCACACATCCTCCGCAAGCTCTGACACCTCCCAGAGCAGCAGTCACCCCAACTGGATGCCAGCAGGAACGCTCCGCCCCCCAAAAAACGCCATTGTAGTTACGCCCAGACCAGACAAAATGCTTTTGTTGTTTAGAGCAGAAAGCAAAAAAGCCACAAAAATCGTTCAAGGCACGTTTGTGTAACATTTTTTGTGAGTCTGTGGGTTGGGGGGTATGGGTGGAGCAGAATGGGTCATGCGAGTAGTAAAGTTGTCCGGGATTCTCTAAATGTGATGACTGAGACACAGGGTCGACGGGAATTGGGAGTAGAATGGGTTCCGGCTGTGGTTGGCCATTTTTAGTTTGTCTTCCTGCTGTTTAGTTTCCGTTTGTTTTCAATGATTTCTCGGCGTTGCCAAAGGACCCATAAAGTTAATTGAAAAAGGCGCTGGAAAGCTAGCAGTGTTGGTAAACTATATTTGTAAGAGGAGTATGAAGTGTTGGTAAACTATATGTGTAGCAAATTTTAAATTATTACAGGAAAGTGTCGGAAATGAGTTTTAATACTACAAATTGCCCATTCTATATGATTTACTAGATGTTATATGAATATGTACTGAACAAGTCTAGTACCATCAAGAAAATCCTCTTTAGGACCTGCAGGCAACTTAAACTGAAGATGCTTTTGAAACCCTGACAAAAAACCGAAATGGAATCACTCTTTCCTCTTCTGGCAAGTTGGCAATGTGGCAGCATTCAGCTGACCAATCCCCATGCCACGGCACTTTAGAGCTGACAAATAAGTTATTATGGGAAAATATGGCAAGCTTCGCACATTTCGCTGTCCGAGATGCCAGGACCCCGGGACAGGACCCCAAAAACTGACAGCCTTACAAATGTTGGCTACTTTGTATGCTAATATCCTCAGGGAGGGACGACAGCGAATCGAGAGTGGAGAAAAATACAAAGATAAAAAAAAGGAGACACCGAGAGAGCTCTCCTAACAAATTATGTTGCCACTTGTCACATTTAATGGTATTTGCATTTGTATACACCAAAGTGTCAGCATCACGCACACTACACGTAGCACACCCCACCGATTCCTTGCTTCCATTCCTCGGCAAATATTTACGCGGCATTTTAAGCGGATTTCTCATTTTGAGTGATTTGTGTCGCCTCTCGAATCCCATTCTTATATACAAAAAAAAAAAAAAACGATATGCATGGGGGCGCGATAATGTTAAGGTCCTTTTTTCCCCCCACAGCCGGGTGCGTGATGAGCCGAAAAGTGATGTCTAATGATGCTTATAATGGTCATAACAAAAAAAATATCCTAACAAAATGAAGACGTTTTTTTAGGATCTTAAAAAAATTTTTATGGAGATGTTTTCAGGGATGAATTGGGTATTGAAGAGAGTTCTGATGTAAGAAGAAAATTGAGCTATAGCAATAGTTGAGTTAATATAATTATGTAGAGATATATTACATATATTATACATACTTAATTGAAACTTTTCAGCAAAAGGTTAAGAACACTGGGTAATAGACAGAAACCTGGAAGAAATTTTTTTTCAAAATTAATTCATAAAGAAATTAAAAATAAACATATAATAATATAACATAAAAGTAATCTAAATCAGTTGATTTGCTAGTTACTCATACAAACCATAAGTTCCTGTTAGAATAAGGAAGATTCTATAATAGATTTTCGATATATAATCATATAATGTTCATAAAAATAATAATAAATTTTTTATTAGATCCCCCATCTTACAAGTTCCCTTAAAGTCTTGTCAGTATGATATGAACAGTAATCAACTTTCGCTTTTATTTGTCTTGTTTCCTGCAAAACGCTGGACTCTTTGGCCACTCGGCTTGAGTTGGTTTGTACTAACTTTAACTTTAGCGCTTTCTACAAATCGAAAAGTTTACAAGCTGTGTGCAAACAAGGCTCTTAACGAAGGCAGCCAGGCCCAGGCAGCTCCTTCTAACCAGGATTAGGCAAGGCGCTAAGGCAAACAGCAACAGTCGTGAACAAGAAGCCTTTCCAAGACTCAACCAAGAGTGAAATAATTGAAGAAGGACTCCGAAATGGTAATGTCTCCTAGTTTTCGACGCACCTAAGAGTGTATAGTATATATTTGTTGCCTACTTCTGGGCGCTTAAGCTCTTCTGTCAACAGTTTGTGGTTCCGGTTTCCGGTTTCCTGCAGCCTCATTTTTCGCCCAAGTCTGATGAAGTCGCTCTACGTTGTTGTTTCGTTCGGTGTCAATGTTAATTTTGTTGTTGTTGATGTCTATTCCAGAGACGACTTTTTGGCGCTGGCGCAAAAGGCAGACTCGGCTAATTTCATGACCACATTTTAACGTATTGATTTTTGCTGATGTTTTCAGGCCCGTACGCAATGCGCTTATATACTTGTATATCGGGATGTGTGTTCGTGTGCATTGTGATGTATGTGCTGTGATATTTATTTTGCAGCTTTAAAGCCGTCAGTTTCGGTCGAACTCCCATTCCATACCATACCATACCATTCCCCTCCTGCCACATTACGTATACGCAATTTCATTTACACATGGCTGCAGGGCACAGAAAGCCATGGCTGAGAGACACGCCCACATGGGCACACTGCATGTTTTACTTAATTGACATTATAGCCTACTACGATATGTGCATACACTTTCGTCCGGCACTGTGCAAGTGCGACATGTAAATGCGCCTGGCTTGCACATGTCATGGACACCAGTCTATGATGCCAGCAGGATGGAAAGAGGGAATGGGTGAGTCCCCATCAGTGTCAGTGTCAACATTAAAAGCGGATTTAAAATCACTCACACACACACCGGAACAAAGGGGGGGAACTGAGAGGCGTTGAAAGCCGTTGGCCTCATCATGCAAGGAGCCACCTATCGGATGACAGCACAATGGCAGAAAGGCTTTCAATCAATATCAAGTGTAAAGTGTAAAGGAGTTAACCAGTTACAAGGAAATAGTGATACTTACAGAAGAAAGGAACTTATTTGTAGTCTAAAGGAAGAAGAAAGTTGTACTTATTCCCTAAAAGCATAATGGGAAATTCTTAGAAACGTGATAAAAGTCTTCTCGTTAGATTAATATTAATTCTGAATGAGTTTTGAATGCTAAAAAATATGGAAATATCGCTTAAATATTTCACTATTCCGAATACTCCTCTTTGTTAAATGTTTCCCCTATATTTTTAGCTTTTATATATAATCTAAAATTTTCTAATTGTACCCCTAACTTAATATATGTAAAAAGAATCTAGTCATTTTAAATTATATGTTTTGATATTGGCTGGCTTAATCACATGAAAACAGGATTTAACAGGACTTATTATCAGTTTAGTCTCTTAGATAGTACAGATCAAGAAGGAAAAATAAGGAGACTTGACGTAAATGTTTTTGATTCTGAATGAAGGTTTCTGATTCTGAATGATTCCTGGTCTTTACATTAAACTTTTCAATACCAATGACTGTCAAAATCACCTTTTCCCTGTAAACTTGTGCACTTTCCAACCAACTATTTAATCCTCGTGAATATGAAATCTAATTAACACTTGACTTATAAGCTCTTACCGAAATCCAAGCTCTGGGACTTCCCCATCGACTCCTCTCCCATTTCCCCCTGTGAAAAAAGTAACACCTGGAAAGTCTCAAGCCTCTCGAAAATGTGTAACAAAAAGTTACACCCTCTGGCGAAAAGAGCGAGTGAACGAACAGACAAAAAAATTACAATCTACAAATCTAATTAGCAACTCATTACCAGGACCTCAGCCCTGGGGTCTCCCTTCGGAAAAAGAAATGGAAAAGAGAGGCAGAACAAACATATTGACCGATTTGCTGAAGCTAATCAATTAATTAGGACAGAACAGAAGCGAAGCACACCAGGAGTTCCGTGAAGAGCAAAAACAATTATGTCAAAATACATGCACCCACACGGAACACGAGGAGCTTGCTTCAGGACCTTGAAAGTCCTGGCCAGACAAAGGCAGCAGGCAGGAATGTCAGGATGCCAGAATGGGCAACGGAAAAGGCGTTTCGGGAAAAATTAATGATAAGTGGCAGTGGAAAAGCGAGCTGCCTTGCAGCTGCTATATTCCCACGGCAGGACACAACCACGAGGACTACGACGACGACTTCACGACGATGCCTCACGCAAAATGATGATCATCATGGAGCTTGAGGAGCACAGGAGCAATAAGCTGAAAAGCGCAATGCGTGCTTCAGAAATCGAAATAAATAAATCGGTAAACGATAATGAGCCAATACCCCTGGCCTTGCTATATTTATATGCGGGGTAGGAGCTACTGTCGTCATAAAAATCCAGCAGCAAGGATATGTATCAAAATGCGATTGTTTGGCAGGCAAATTAAAAGTAAATAAGGCAGCGTTTGCAAATTGTTTGGGAGAAGGGAGAAACTCAAAGCGAAAACCGAAAATAAAATAAAAAGAAATATAAACCGTGAAATTAGGAAAACACTTGAAGTGATTCGTTGTGCCCCCTGAAATGATGATGATGATGTGCTCAGGGGTGTGTCTGTGAAGATTCGATCAGGGGTTGGCAGAATGCTTGTACTGAAGTAACTAATAGTCCATAATGGACACACTTTTACCCAACACAAGGGGCGGTTTCAAGGACTCCAATGAAAGGACTTGGAATTGAGCAATTGTCAAAGTATTTATCCGCAGCCTCTGAATGATTATTTACAATGTAAATTATCCAACTCAATGATTTTTACTATTAAATATGTTTTCTTTAGATAGTATTTCTAGGGTGTACTTGCACTTTTAATTTCCGTGTAGAAGACCCCTTCCCCTCTGCTCAATAATCCTCCTCTTAATGCGAATTGGCGCATTCAAATCGCCTCAAGTCTTTCCACTGTTTTGGGAGGCAGGCAGACACGACTTTTGCATTTTCCATCTTCATAACTTTTGAGCAAGTAAATCAGTCTCGGCTTTCCTTTCCTCATCAACGTCTTTGCTAAACAAAGTTTCTGCCCCGAGAGAAAAAAGGAATGGCATTGCGCTTGAAGAAAAGCTGGATGCAAGTGGAAAAATTTTAAATTTTCCTTTGCTGGCAGCTAATTTTGTTGCCTTTTTCACACGTTTCTGTGTTTGCCCAGCGGGAAGGAGTGGCTTGGAGTCACGGCAAAAAAGGGTTAGCTTGAAGTTTGAGCCAACTTTTCTCTCCGTCGTTCTGCTTCGTTTCTTTTTTTTTCTTTCTGTTGAACCACAATTTTTAAGTCCCGCTGGAAATTGGGACCCGAAGTTTGTTAAACCCGCAGCATAAAAATTTGATGAGTTTGGCATTTTCTTTAATTGAAATTTGTGATCTTTTGAAAGCTTTGAGACTTTTTCTCGCTTCGGTATAGTTTTTCCCCCTTTCCACAAGCTTGTGAAGGAGTAGAAGCAAAAGTCCTTCAAGTGGCTGCAGTCATTTTACAGAGAGACGCACTCACATATGCGATTAGCTGGGGATTAAAATGTCACCCCTTTTGCGCCATGTCACGCCGTATCCGCAAGATACGCAACGCAGCGATAGATACATTTAATTGCAAACAAATAAAAGTCATGGCAGCCACATACAGATATACACACATGGTGTGTTCCATGACACCTCCACCCTCCTCCGCCCTCTACTCTACACTCTATACTGAGGTCCTGCTCGGGGCATATGCAACATTTCACACGACCGAGGACAGTTCATCTATGCTCCGCAACCCGGTATCTTTGCATCTCCTGGGTTCTAATAATCGGTTTATTATGTCTTCCCGTCGAGTCTCTCTCTCCACCAAAGAGATTGCGACTATTTACCCGGGAAAATCAAGGCGGGGAAGGGCCAACCTTTGGGTCCGCTCCACACACACACACTTCAAAGCCTTCTCGAAAAGTTTCAAAGAGCCCAGGCCAGAGAGTATCCTTGAAATTAACTTTATTTATTCAACTACTTAGAGGCAGATTATCGCAATTACACACTTGAACTGATTTTATTCAAACGAGATGGAAGGAAAGTCGCATATCTGTAGGGAAAATCAAAAGAAAATGCAGGAAAAGTATGCAGGAAGCAGAGATTTTTTTAGATTTTAAAGCAAGATGTCTAATAAAGTATACAAAACTCTGCCGCATCTTCAGAATTATTTAGATCTTTCATAACCTTTTCAGGCTTTTATAACTCTTCAAATATATCTCAAAGACTTCTTAATGATTTCCATAGTCAACCCTCTTCTTCCTTTCTCTTCCTCAGCTGTGCAACATGAGCGTGGTCCCAGGAAACCCAAGTTGCATCCACAGCTCCATCATCATCATCATCATGCTGCAGCCGCTGCAGCAGCGGCTCATCATGCAGCAGCGGCGCATCATCATCATCATCATCACCATCATGCCCATGCCCATGCTGCAGCCGCTCATCATGCAGCCGCTGCTGCAGCGGCTGCTGCGGGTTTGCATCATCATCACCATGCCGGTGGCCACCTGCCCGTCTCCCTGGTGACCAATGTCTCGGCCTCGTTCAATTACACGCAGCACATCTCCACTCATCCACCTCCGCCGGCTGGTGCTTCGGGTGGCTTCCACCAAGCACCAGCTTTGCCGGGTCACCATCTTCATGGACAGCAGCAACCGCACCAGCAACAGCAGCAGCAGCAGCAGCAGCAGGTGCATGCAACGGCCTTCCACCATCCAGGACATCCAGCACATGCACTGGCTCCTCCTCATGGTGGCAGCAATCCAGGCGGAAACTCCAGTTCGATCTCGAGCAGTGGATCCACCAGCGGTGGGGGAGCGTCTTTGCCCTTCCCATCGCACCTGCTGCACCACAATCTCATAGCGGAAGCGGCCAGCAAGTTGCCAGGAATAACGGCTAGTGCTGTGGCAGCTGTGGTTTCCTCTACCACGACACCTTACCCCACCGCCGCCCAGGTGGTGAATCCTAATAACAACAACTACTCCTCACCTTCGCCTAGCAATTCTATACAATCGATCTCCAGTATTGGTTCCCGAAGTGTGGGTGGTGCAGGAGAAGAGGAGGGTCTTAGCCTGAGTCTGGGCAGTGAGAGTCCTCGAGTGAATGTGGAGACAGAGACACCTTCGCCATCGGCATCGCCACCCTTAAGTGCTGGCAGCATCTCGCCGGCGCCCACGTTGACCACTTCCTCGGGCTCGCCGCAGCCTCCTCGACAGCCTCCCTCCCGCCACAGTCTCAGCGAGGCTACCACGCCCCCTAGTCATGCCTCCCTAATGATCCGCAGCAATAACAACAATAATAATAATAACAATAATAATAATAATGGAGAACACAAGCAATCCAGCTTTACATCAGGATCACCTACACCCACCACACCCACACCACCGCCTTTGGGCTCAAGGATGGGGACAAGTGCTTGTCCTACGGGTTCAGCCTCAAATGGTTTCCTGGAGCTGCTGCTCAGTCCGGACAAGTGCCAGGAGCTCATCCAATACCAGGTGCAGCACAATACATTGCTTTTCCCGCAGCAACTGCTGGACTCACGGCTGTTGTCCTGGGAAATGCTGCAGGAGACGACGGCGCGGTTGCTTTTCATGGCAGTTCGGTGGGTCAAGTGCCTCATGCCCTTCCAGACGCTCTCCAAGAATGATCAGCATTTGCTGTTGCAGGTGAGGAAGATTAACCATATACTATATATATAATATTAATTGTTAAAATTAACATTAACAAATAAACTTTTCTACTTTTTTTCTTTTCCCAGGAGTCCTGGAAGGAACTGTTTCTGCTTAACCTGGCTCAGTGGACTATTCCTTTGGATCTTACGCCCATTCTGGAGTCACCTCTTATAAGGGAAAGGGTGCTGCAGGATGAGGCCACTCAGACAGAGATGAAAACCATCCAGGAGATCCTGTGCCGCTTTAGACAAATCACACCCGATGGCAGTGAAGTGGGTTGCATGAAGGCAATTGCCTTGTTTGCTCCTGAAACCGCTGGCCTTTGTGATGTCCAACCGGTTGAGATGCTGCAGGATCAGGCACAATGTATCCTCTCGGATCATGTGCGTCTTCGTTATCCCCGTCAGGCTACTCGCTTTGGGAGACTTCTACTCCTCCTGCCCTCTCTGAGGACCATTAGGGCTGCCACCATTGAGGCTCTGTTCTTCAAGGAAACCATTGGAAATGTCCCAATTGCCCGACTCTTGCGTGACATGTACACCATGGAGCCGGCCCAGGTGGACAAGTAAAGTGAATGGACAAGGGATGGATATATATATATAGATATATATAATCGAATGCGATACCGTTGCACCTAAGCGGCAACAGTTTTTGTCACCTGCAAAAATATTTGTATTCCAATGCGAACCGAAAAAGAGTTCAGATTCAGATGCGAAGGCAAATGGAAAAATTGCGGAAAATTTACCAATTTCCCGGGCTGCAGCTGTGACAGTTCACAAAGCGGGGGTAGAGGGAGGTAGGACCATGTAATAGATGTGTGTGTGGGTGTGTGTACCAGGCCACGCCTCCAGGTCCTGCTCCTCCTCGTCCTGATGGTCCTGCTGGCCTTCTCACATGTTGATTTATCGCCAAACGACGCGTTGGCGCTCGCTTTACTTTCGTTTCATTTTCTAACATTTTATATTCTCATTTTATTTTCATCTTTTTCGCCGCGATTTTCCCTTTTCCTTTTTTTTTTTGGTTTTATTTCATTCTTTGACTGCCTGTGCTCTGGTCTTTATTTATCTTTCATTCGACGTTTTGTCGTCGCTTTTCTAAAAATTGCTCATGTTATTTCAACCTGCCAGGCAACGTTTCCATTCCCAATTCCCCAAGTCCTTGATGGCATATCCTGAGATACAGGGATACTAGCCACCTTTTCTGTATTTTTGGCTTTGTAATATAGTACCATAAGGTATAGGAGGGTTTTTATGGTTATTTTTAAAGATTATAATTAAATAATATGTCATGTTTTGAGATAGAGGATCTACAGGAATTGGAATAAACAGGATACTCTTTGTAAATTTGTTTATTTAACTATATTAGACATATACTAATTTATTTTTAAGAAACAAATTGTCAAATTAATTTGTTTAAATGTGAATTTTTCAAGCAATTTTGTATAGTTTATAGTTTGTACAGGACTTCCCCTGTGAGTGTATTTCAAAGCCATCTCTGCATCCGTAAACACATCATCCATCCCTCTAAACTCTCCCAAAAAACTGCTCTTTGATTCAATCTGACTTCCCTTTACTCACGGATTATTTTTTTCAATATCTTTTTTCTTTTTTTGCCGTTTCGCGTTTCCAGATAACGCGTTTAGAAATCGTGAAAATGAAAAAACAACTTTGCCGCAGGTCAAGCGACCAAAATTTATGTTCCCTGTTTTTTTTTTTTGCCTCGCTGTTACTGTTGGTTGGTTCGTTGCCAATGTTCCCTGGCCCGATGTTTCAGTTAGTTTTATATACATATATATATATAGTCGGTGCTAAGGCATATCTATGTATCTACCACTGTATCGATGTACATATATATAACCGGCACATTGATAATAAAAAAAGCTTTGTTTATACATACCGAATGCTTTGTAATTGATTTTTACACACATTGAAAATTCGTAAAACGGTATGAATCTAATATTAGATTTAGCACAAATAGTTGAAAAAAGAAAATCCTTAGAAATATAAATGAATGTAAAATGCTGGCGAGCAGCCAACTAAGGGATATTGAACATTTAAATGAATAAAAATATGATATTAAAAAAAAACAAAATATTCAATGGCTTTTTATTGGGATTTTTGTTACATGATGGGTTGTATTAAAAAAAACAAGAAAGGAAGCTAACTTCGGCACGCCGAAGTTTATATACCCTTGCAGATAGAACTTCTATGAATAGGAATCCATACAATATAAATTATATATATTTGTGTTAAAAAACAATGAAGTAATACCTGCTTTCATTTCATTCACCTATACATATTATATTTGCAGTTTTACATTCACATCAAACGATCGTTTGTATGGCACCTATATGATATAGTCGTCCGATTTTCATGAAATTTGCCACAAAATTTAAGACTTATATAAAATGGCTATACCTCAAATTTGATGAAAATCAGCTGAAAACTAAAAAAGTTATAAATTTAATTGTATTAATTTCTCGATCGTTCCTATGGGAGCTATATGATATAGTAGTCCGATTTTTATAAAATTTCGTACAACATTGAAGAGTATAGTAAAATGGCTATATCTCAAATTTGATTCAATTCTATTGAAAACTGAAAAAGTTATAATTTTTTTTATAAAAATTATCCCATAATTTCTATGGCAGCTATATGATATAGTCGTCCGATCCGGCCCGTTCCGACATATATACGAGTGAGAGTATATACAAGGCTAACTACAAAGTTTCATTCAGATAGCTTCAAAACTGAGAGACTAGTTTGCGTAGAAACGGACAGACGGACAGACGGACAGACGGACGGACGGACAGACGGACAGACGGACAGACGGACATGGCTAGATCGACTCGGCTGTTGATCCTGATCAAGAATATATATACTTTATATAGTCGGAGGTGCCTCCTTCACTGCGTTGCAAACTTCTGACTGAAATTATAATACCCTGCAAGGGTATAAAAAAGATTATGGATTATGAACAAAAGAAATATTGCTGACATAGGAGTTCATGTTGTTGGGAAAATGTAAAGGTACTTAAACATAGATAAAACCATGAAAATCTTTATATGTTAATTTTGGCAATTGAAAAGTTTGAATTTTTAAGGATAAGTAATATTTACTATTATAAAGTACTTGTTATTTAGTTATCAATAAAGTTTCTTATAAAAGTTAGTTTAAAGGCACTCAAGATGCTGTGTGTAAACGTAGTCTAGTAAATTTATATGGTTTTCAATTAAAAATACATCAAACCTAATATATGCCAAGACGGACAGATACATATTAACTATTATATTCCAGGGCATTATAATTTGAGTCAAAAGCTCAAAACACAGTGAAGCAATCATTTCCGACCCTATAAATCATATATATTCTTGATCAGCATAAACAGCCGAATCGAGCTAGTCATGTTTGAAAGGAAAAAAATTTGAAAAATTTTTCTTGAAATTTTAAGTTACAATTTTATAATTTAAAATTGTCAAAAATTGGAAAAAATTTAAAATTCTTAAATGTGTATGCTTTTAATGCAGATTAATAATACTTAGGAAAACTAACGCAGAACAGCTTTCCGAATTGAATTTAATGAATTTTTGACAAAGTTAAGAGGATCTTAGATGTCATCTCCAGATCCAATTGAACTTGCTAGGGTATACAAACTTCGGCTAGGTAAGGTAAGAAATCTTATTAAAATTATGTGAGGATATAATATTGAGATTTGCTGTCTTAAAATTAGATCCGCTGATGCTATTCAATGATAATATCTTCCATAAGGTTAAAAATGATTTTAAAAAAATTATAACACTCTTCAACAATATACATTTAGTGGGAACTTAATGCTAATTTAAGAGTAAATTAATCTTAAAGAAGCAAACACTACCAAATGGTAGATGAAGTTTTTTTTTTTTAGTATTAATTACATACTAATAACGAACATGACTAAATCGGTTCTTCTGATGATGCTAAGAATATTCAAACCTTATGGTTTCTGAGACGGCCCCTCTGCCTTTTACAAACCACTTTACCCTTCGTGCACGGGTTCATGCTAATTTCACAAAAACTAAATAAATAAAAGAAAACCCAAACTCGAAAACCCTGGCAAGCCAAAGTAAATTATTTTAATGGAAGTAATGCCTTAAAAAAATGAGAATAATATGCAAAAATGCTGGGCAATTAAAGCAATTAAGTGCTTCCACACTATTTGCAGAGCAGGAAAACTCTGGTAAAAAAACCGAGTACCGAAAAAAAAAACAACCCAAGAACAAATGGAATTACAAAACAAAAAAAAAGATGGCCCAAAACATTTTACAGGACAAAGCGAAGCGGCAAATAAAAATGTAAATCATAAAAAACCGAAATGAAAATAAAAATCCCCAATTTGTATGCTGTCGCATATTTCTCAAAACGCTTAAGGATTGTCCAAGGAGGTGTTCTCCGCAATAGAATGGAGCTGGAGCTGGGAGCTGTCATAAATTCTGTCACCAGATCCACATTCAAATGGGAATTCCTTGACAAAGGACATGTGCCCCAGCGTCTATTATTGATGCCCAACGCTCTCAAACATCTCGAACATCTCCGTCCTGTCATCAAAGAGAGCCCCGCTCCGATTCAATTGTCTGAGACAAATGTCTTTGGCAAAAGGTAAGGAATAAAGTCTTATTTAGCATATGCAAACGCCTCGAGCGGCCAACTGGGCACATGGGCTAGCCGCACAAACCGCTCGGACATGTTGCACATTACCCTTTTAGTTAACCTTCCTCCATTCAGTATCTCCTCCCCCGTCTTTTGGGGTTTCTGAGGAAAAACTTTCTACAGCAGCTCACCAAGTTCTTTTCACACTTTTCCCATAGCTGCTAAGGCTGCCACTGGCCATGGGCAATACATCTTGGGCCACAAAACACAAAATCGTCTTAAGTATTTTGTGTGGTTTAAATAAAGTAAAAATAATATTGCAAAAATAAAAAAAATAAAAACCAATGTCCAGCTGTGAGTGGGTGTGTGAAAGGATAAGCGGGCTACATCCGCTTAGCGTTGTCTTTCTCTAGTCTTGGGATACCCTGCCTAGAATTACGGGTAGTTGGAATATGTTAAAGGTTTTGAGGTTTAAAATTTTGGGGAACTATTTTTTAATATGTATATGGTATATGTTCTGTAGTAACTACAAACCAGAAATCAATGATGCTAAATGTTAATTTAAAAAATATTTATCTTCCGTATTAGAAAGATTTTAAGATTATTTATCTTTAACATTAGGAAGAGAAATATTCTTTAAGCTAACATTAAGCATCAAATGCTAGGTAATGCATTTTATTTTCGCAATCCCTAAATATATGAAGGTAATGGTTTTAGCAAGATAATCCATATTAAATCGAGGAAACCTATACAAATTAAATATTTATAATGTTGTTAATATTTTAATAACATTATTCACTATTGCTAGAGAAATACTTTTTCAAATACTGCTGAATTTTACAAATTTCTTGCTTGTAAAAAGTTAATACAATTTAATAATCATTTATTACTTTTAAGAAAGGACATCCAATAGTCACCTTAGGATATCCCAAAACTCTTTCATTTCCTTCACTCGTTTCTTGCCTTTCATTTTTGGGTCTCGTTGTTGCGTAAATGATTTTATTTCGTTGCTGTAAAATTTTTGATGTACTATTATTCTATGCCCAAGTCCCCCAATGTCCATCATTGTTTTTTATAGACACTTTGCAGTGCACACAGCTCCAGCAAAAAGGGTTAATTCCCCAAACCCTCGAGCATCGCCATCAACGCCATCATCATCATCAACAAGGAGCTCCTCATCGTCAGCATGACATGCGAATTAGCCATGGCCAAAAAGGTGGGCTGCATATTGGATGTGGGATCTGGGATCTGGGATATATATGCGATATGCGATGTGTGATATGGGTTATGGGTTGAGATTGCGAGGGGCTCCCTCTCTCTCTTCACGCAATCTTGATGATGTGAATTGTGGCACTTGTCCATCCAATTTTGGAGCGTGGAATAGGATTGATGGCTGCATGGTAATTTTGAGTTTCTGCATAGAAATTGCGCATACGCCAAGTGGGCCGTGAGCCAAAATGATGCTGCCAAGTGAGGGGGGTGGGAGGGAGGGAAAACAGCACTTATAAGCTTGTAATCTTTGACAGATACAAGAGGATGAGCCACCGATGAATCAATGATTAAACGGAAAGTCTGAAAATTACATTCCAAAGGAAAGCATAGGTCAGAGTGTATAAAGGTATATATTTATGGAATTTGGCTTCAGGGTGTCTTTTATGCTTATACTTAGTATTGTTAATGAAAAGAACCATTTGATTGTTTTAACTAAACGAATTTTCATATTTTTTGCTTATAATGGTTTAAACAAAAAATGCATTCAAGTTCTAATTCACTTTTAACCATTGAATTCGGAGGTCTAAATGAGTTTATACCAAAAGGAAATCTAGGTTGAGTCTTATGTGTATGAAAATACAAATAAAATATATGTAAATTATATACTTTATAACATTGTTATATATTAAATTACTGATCTGAAGTATATTTTACTTCATAAAAAATTGTTTACCTTAATTTCTCTTTTTAAACTTTCTGCCAAAGTGTTTTCTGAAGTTCTTGTGTTGCTTTTTATCTTTTTAAAAATACAACACATTATTTTCATATGCAACAACAATTATTATTCTGGTCTTTCTAATATACATATGTTCCCTTTTTCCAAAAATATCCAGTAGAAATACAGAATGACCCTAATTTTTCTAATGAAATATACAATTTTTAGATCCAACTAATAATGAGTTCTTTTATGGAACTGAAAAATGATCAGAAAGTATCATAAATTGTAAATACACATTAAATGACTTTGCTAAATTATATTTAGTAAACTATTAAATAGTTAAGGGCTCTCTATAACTAAAATATTACAACAATAACTTCCTAAGAACCCCAAAGAGTACATAAGAAAATGGAAAACAAAAGATGGAAATGATAGCAGACCCACCTTGGCTGCAGCACAAAATCACACTTTTTGCCATGGAAACAAGCCAGGCCACAGCTCCCAACCAACCCACATCCACATCCACATCCAGTCCACCTCCCACCTCACAAGAGAACGCCACAGGAAAGCATCCGTCGGAAACAGAACAGACCAGACCAAACCAGACGAGACCAGAGATACCAAGTCAGGCCACGAGCATAACGTGCAACTTTCCAGCTTTCGCCGCAATCAATTTTACGGGTGCACAGCAGCAGGAGCAGGAGCAGGAGCAGCAGGAGCAACCAGGAGGCTGGGCTGCCTCGAATGCGGCAGTGGAGTTAGAGCAACCCCGTGCACAGCCACGGCAAACCACTCAGCCAACCACCCACCCATCCCATCCCATCCTCCGCAGGACCCAGGCCATCCGAGGACACCCACAAACAGCGTTAGACACGCAACGAGAGCGAGAGGAGCGCACGTGGTCCTGCTCACATGAAGGTATTAGCGCGTAACATCGCTGCATGATTAACCTCCTCCATGGGTCAACGCCATGCGGACATCGCGACGGCCACGACGACGGCAACTGCAACTGTGTACTCTGTTCCAGAGTGGGCGTGGCCCTGGTCCCTAGTTCCATCCAGAGATCTGCCCTGCAGTCATCCAGTTTGGAGGTTATGGGGTAGTAAGAGCCTCTCTAACCCCATCCAATGATTACAAAAAAACATTAAAGCCTAAAGTATTTTCCAAAATATTAGCGAGGAAAAATAAGTGTTTTTAAGAAAAATATTTAATATTTAAATAAGTAAACAATGAATACACATTTACCAAAAGTGTAAATTTCATATAGGAATGTGATCTTGATTACTATTATATAGAAATTTTGTGCGTTCTGTTTAATACTTAAAGAAGTCTTTTTGATATTCCAGTTAATTTAATATAATTATTTATTTGTTAACTAAGTAATTCTATTCAATTTAGACAAACAATAGAATAATAATAAATAAATAAATAAAATTACCTCTTAAGTATTGGTTGCAGTATATTAATTTCTCCCTTGCCATGCATCGTTGGCTTTCCGATTGATTCACAAGGAAAGGGTTCCAGAACCTTTAAATAATATCAAAATTTACACTAAGTTTAAAAGCGGTTAAAAGTTTTTTTTTCAATGTTTATTGGAAGAATAACAATAAAGGTGTGATAACTTGGAAAAGCCAAAGTTACTATACCCACTGCCCGTGGGTACCGAACTTAAAATCCTCATAACTCAGTCAAAAATTCATTAAATTCAATTCGGAAAGCTGTTCTGTGTTAACTTTTAGAAGGTTTATAAATCTGCATTCAAAGCTTAAACCTTTAAAAAATTTATTTTTTTGTTGAATTTTTGACAATTAAAATAATGTACAAAATTAAGAAGAAAAATGAGTAAAAATTTTTTCCGTTCGGACATGGCTTAATCAATTCGGCTTTTAAAGCTGAAGAATATATATGATTTATAGGGTCGAAAATGTTTCCATCATTGCTTTATAAGCTTCAAACTGAAATTATAATACCCAGAAAGGGTATAAATTTAATAAAGAACAAAAAAACAAACACGGGGTATACTGAGCATACACAACATACACAAAAATAAATATCTAAAACCATAATAAATAAATAAAATAATCATAAAAGTTTTGTAATGATAAATAAAGGCGACATTAGAAGTATAAATAAAATGGAAAGTATAATATTTGTATGAACAAAAGAGTGTAATAGGCTTAGGTAATATTTTTAATGCAAAAAGACAAAGCGAAGCTTAATATACTTTTATAATTTGTTTAAGTAATGTTTACTAACAGCGGCCACTAATTTGGTTTTTAAGATTTAAACAAATTCAACTCACAACGTTTATATTTCTTCACTTTTAGTAGCTTTTAAACTAAGTCTAATAGTAAAGTTCACTAACGGATTCAATTAGTAGAAGAAAGATGTCTATTTCAGTAATTTTAAATTTTAATTTTATACATAATATAAATAATTTATATATTTAAATATTCTTATTTTTGCAGGAGTTTTCGGTTTGAGTCCTTGCTAACGGTTCCGATATTAGAGTGACCATGCGCATGCACAGTGAAAATACCCAGAATAAACACTTCCCAGTTCAGCATTTCACCCTACCCCGCCAACGGTCTCTGTTTTGATCTGATTCGCACCTCCACGATTTTCGCTTGGCTTCTTCGGGACGTGTCAGTTTGCAATCAGTTTAGTTTTGTGGCCCAATCGGTCGTAATCAGCGTCAGTCAGAATCGCCAATTCAGACCGCGAAGTAGCAGAAGCAGCAGCAGAACCTCGCAAAGCAGCAAGAACCAGCAACAACAACAAAGGCAGCAGCAGAACAGAAACATAAACTGCACTCAGAATGGCGGAAAAAGTGAACGTATGCATTGTGGGCTCCGGCAACTGGTGAGTGGGAGGAGTACCCTCAATCGGACGATGCACTTATATAATTGATTGATTGCACTCTGCCCTTGCATTGCGCACCTTGACCTTGCAGGGGTTCGGCCATAGCAAAAATCGTGGGCGCCAATGCCTCCGCCCTGCCGGAATTCGAGGAGCGAGTGACCATGTTCGTCTACGAGGAGCTCATCGATGGCAAGAAGCTGACGGAGATCATCAATGAGACGCACGAGAATGTCAAGTACCTGAAGGGACACAAGCTGCCCCCAATGTGGTGAGTCCTCCGAAGGATACTCTACCCCCCAAAGTAGGCTTATGTAACTGTCAAGTGTGTGTGTGTGTGTGTGTGGATTTTGCGGTTGGTTTGTTAAGAGCCATGTGGCTTACATAAAAGGCTATCGCCTTGATCTTGACCGTGTGTGCAGCAGCAGCGCCAAATTATCTAATCAGACGACAACTGCAAGCAAGTCTATTTATATACCTTTGCGCTCTCTCTCTCTATCTCTCTTTATTTTTCTCCCTTGTGCGCTGCAGTTTCACCTTGGACTCTCTTTGCACTCGCTTTCGCCTGCGCCCTCGCTCTTTTTGTGGGAGCACTCTTTAACGCCTTTGACATAGGTCAAGGCCGGCTTTGGCGGCCCTTCCCCAAAGCTCCTCCTATTATTATTTTGCAACACATAAATTGCGTCAATATTCCCCATTAGGCAATATAATTGTGCAGCGATAAGCAGGGCACTCGAAATGGGTGTATTTGGACATATGTACGTCCTCCACAAAGCACTTGAACTATTATGTTCTGTTTTGGCGATTATCGATAAGCCAACGCTACTGTTTTCGGGTTCATTGTGGGGGTGATAAAGTCCAGCACCTTCGGTAGTAGGTTATCCCGGCTGTCCAGGCCCCCTTAGTGTTTGCCCTGTAAACAGCCTGTTGATGCCAAGTGTTTGCCAACTTGCTTAGGAAAATAAAAAAAAGTTCCATGCACAGACACACACATAGTTCACGATTACAGCCATGCGTTAGAGGCATGAATATTGATAAATGTGAAAAACAACAAGAAAATATGCTAAGTCGAATAGGGGAACACTCTTACGAAGTGATGGTATAGTACCCTCATTTTGATAACTTCCGAATATTCCCTCAAAGGAGTTAAGATCAGTTGGATTATGGAAAGGAATAAACAATTGTAAAAGACATAAAGATTTCGAGATAAAAAAGCATAGAAAACGCTTTATATTATATTATAAATCAAATACATATAATGCGTATATAAACAAAGAAAGAAATATATAAATAAATATACTTATTCCAGAGATTCTGCGGTATAAAATAACTAAATTTCTCCTAGCTTAACTAAAAATATACAAAGGAATGACATAGAGGTCTCTACAAATTTAAAATCAATTTAAATACGTGTTAAATTACTTTTAAAATTTAATGATAATTATATTTTTTTGTTAGATATAGCAAATCATTTTAATTTCAAACAATATTTTACTAATTCCATGTGATTTTCTATCAATAATAGCACTGGTTCTACAGAAATTGTAAAGGTTTGAGAATCTTTATAGTATAAATAAGATCATGAAAAGGTTTATATCGACGTTTAAACAGATGTAACACTTGAATATTAAATTAAATAATATAGTATTCATTTTTAATACTCTTTTTGAAAGTGTATAAGAAAACCACACACACACAACATATAGACGAAAATTTTCTATGTTTGTTGGTTTGTTTTGTATAATTAGAAGACGCCTTCGCCTATTTGGAACACATACATATATTCGTAAATTTTGGCAAGCTTTCACTATAGTCTCTGGGCGCCAAAACAACAACAGATAAAGCCAAAAAATTAAAATGAATACAAATGAGACTAAGCAATTTTCTATAAGCAATGATCGGGATCAATGTCAGAAATGCAACAAGTATGCAAAGGCAAAGGCAATGAAAATGAGTCAACAAGTTAATCGTTTTGGCACGAACGAAAACGGAAAATACTATAAAAATATTGTTTGTTTTTGTGCTTTTGTTTTTTACCTTACTTATAGAGCGGCGGCTTAGATCGGTACATGTGGTTAGCACATTTGATTAAGGCTTCACACAGCTGCTAATCAACATCCATAAATATATATATATTAACAGTCGGAGTAATAAATTATGCCTGTATTTTCCACCTATATCACCAAGAAAAACAATATACTCTAAAAAACCTGAATTTTTGTGATCTCTAAAAATAATCCATTTCGCTGTTTATCAAATCATTAGATAAACGTAACCGTAACCTTGTGCAAATGCCAAGTTTGCCTGTTATCTAAATTGTATGTTATGAACTTTATATAAAGACTCTATCGCCAACTTTCCGCAAACAAGTTAATTAATATATGTATTTTGTGCTGCTCGGCATAAACTCATTACGAATGCCAGAAACAGGTTTGCCAATGTGTAGCAATGTGGAAAAAATGTATTACTTGCGGTAACCTGACCATATCAGACCCGCAAATTAAGTAGTCTAGACAACGGAGAGACGCGCCCCCAAAAAAGAGAACACGTGCTGTAAAAATGATTTCCTCAATTCGTCTGCAGTTCCCTTCATTCAACCTTCAGTATATGCCATGCTTATCACCTCATTTCTTATCACAGAATAGTAAGCAAAAATTTCCTTTACTTTTTTACAGGTTGCCGTGCCCGATTTGGTTGAGGCCGCCAAGAATGCCGACATCCTGATCTTTGTGGTGCCCCACCAGTTCATCCCCAACTTTTGCAAACAGCTGCTGGGCAAGATCAAGCCCAATGCCATTGCCATCTCCCTGATTAAGGGCTTCGATAAGGCCGAAGGCGGTGGCATTGATCTAATTTCGCACATTATCACGCGTCACCTGAAGGTAAGTCGACGGTGCAAAAGGTGACCCTTTTGAAAAACTCTAATCTCTTTCGCTTGACTTTCCTGCAGATCCCATGTGCCGTGCTGATGGGCGCCAATCTGGCCAACGAGGTGGCTGAGGGCAACTTCTGCGAGACGACCATTGGCTGTACAGACAAGAAGTACGGCAAGGTACTGCGTGATCTCTTCCAGGCTAATCACTTCCGCGTCGTGGTTGTGGACGATGCCGATGCCGTGGAGGTGTGCGGCGCTCTTAAGAACATTGTGGCCTGCGGAGCGGGTTTCGTTGATGGCCTTAAACTCGGTGACAACACCAAGGCGGCTGTCATCCGGTTGGGTCTCATGGAGATGATCCGCTTCGTGGATGTCTTCTATCCCGGCAGCAAGTTATCCACCTTCTTTGAGAGCTGCGGCGTGGCGGATCTGATCACGACGTGTTACGGTGAGTGGGGGAGAAAGGTCACAGAGGGGCACAGTGCCATGCTTAGCTATCAAATCGCTCTAGTTCAGACATAACAATTAACTTCAAATGAGGCAGTTATCAGCTAGAAATGGAACACAGTCGAGATAACTTATCAATTTGTGAGTAATGTGCGGGAAACATTATTTAGTACTAGAGATATCACCCTAATGTCTTTACGGAGTCACAAAGTTGTCATAAAAACAACTTGCCAATTATTTAAACAAACTTTTTCCCTATTATTATTCCGTACCTTTGCAAAAGTCTAAAAGTGAACTCACAAAGTAATTAAACAAACATTGTTGTTTACAAATAATCGTAAAAACGGTTGCGGGAGCCGAGTTGTAAACAATAACAAAGATTGAATTACTAACTGCGGTCATCCGAGATTTATTTCCCATAATTTGTAGAAATACTAAGAAAAAATTCCCATATACACACACAGGTGGCCGTAATCGTCGCGTCTCTGAGGCTTTCGTGACTTCCGGCAAGACTATTGAGGAGCTGGAGAAGGAAATGCTCAACGGCCAGAAGCTGCAAGGACCACCCACTGCCGAGGAGGTGAACTACATGCTCAAGAACAAGGGACTGGAGGACAAGTATGGCATCAAATGCTAATTGTTTACAACTATTAATCGTTTTGTCTATTTATTACAGATTCCCCCTGTTCACGGCTATCCACAAAATATGCACAAATCAGCTTAAGCCTAAAGATTTAATCGATTGTATACGCAATCATCCCGAGCATATGTAAGTGTTTTTGTTCGCGTTCGTTTTATCTCGTTTGCGCCCGTATATTCCGCTCTCCCGCTATCCTGTTATCCTGTTATCCTGAAACTCCCCTGAAAAGTGCTCTGCTTTGTTTTCTCACTGTTTGCCTTTGATTTAATAATTGTCTTCTTAGTTGCCATAATATTAAGTTTATAGTTTTTCCTAACCTAAGTTGGATGCACCTTCTGTTTTCTTATTATTATTATTTTGGAATGTTTTATTTTATGTTTTACTTTAATGCTCCCGTTTCCTAACCAAAACTTAGCTTAATGTTAACTTTAATACAAAATGCTGAATAATAAAACTCGAAGCAAAATTCAAAATTTCTCAAAATTATTGTATTATCTTTCAAAATCGTCATTTCCAAAACCAAAATTCACATCAAAACCATTTCATAGACAATTATTATTCAGCCCATACATAGACCATACCTGTAGTCATTGCAAAATTGATTATTTTTCATCCATAACATATTTGATTTTTCTTCTCTTCCTTTTTTTATATTATATTTTTCATAGGGACACGTCCATCATGCCGTCGCCAAAACTCTAAACTGTGTTACACCCAAAAACCAGATCAGTCAAATGTATATTGTAAATACTACTACTACTATACCCGCATAGATCAAGTCAAGACCAGTCATCTTCATCCATAAAAAAGACATATATATAGCTATATACGATATATATATATGCATCAAGTCAGACAAGTCGCTTTTCATATCTCTTTTTTACTTGCTAATTACTGTTTCCCCCTTGCAATATTTTTCTCCATGATTGTTTAAAGTGTTTATGTGTATTAGGTAAAAAAAAACTGAAACAAAACAAAGAACCAAAAGTAAAAGTGTCATAATTGTTGAAGATAATTAATTGGATTTGTTACAAATAAATATGATTAAAAATGAACATTTTTGTACATACCACTCGAAAAGTGTTATTCATTCATAACATACTCAAATATATTCGAATACATTGGCAGCGACAAATCGGCAAAAGTACGTATAGAAAATCAAAGTTTTATACATTTTGCAATTATAATTTGTTTGGCACGATATTGGGTTTTTTATAACCAATGTTCAATGAGTTACAGTTGATTTGATTTATTCAATTTAATATTTATATTAATGCTTTGCATTTTCTATTCCACAGGCAAAATTTGTAAATCTCTAAAGAACGTTTTTAACATTTTTATGCACCACACAGAGAGATAGAGAGAGAGAGTAATTGTATTTTTTCAGCACAAGTTAAAAAATCAATGATACTTGGGACTCAAAATGGTCCAAAAAACTACCCAGCCGACTATCAGGATTGTGTATAGGTTGTTCATTTAGTTAGCTTATATATTAATATTTCTTTTAATCCGATCCCACGCATATCCAAAGAACCACAGAAGGAAACTAACAGTCAACACCAAAGTCTGCTTTAATTTTAAAATTTAGTCTTGTGTTTTTTTTAAAAACGTAACTAGCCAAGAAACAAAGCGCGAGTACCTAAGCAAGGATATTGTAATTTGTGGCCACGAGTATTAATTACAACAGCAATCGGAGGGAGCGAGCGGAAAGAATCTTAGTCTAATTTTAATCGGATTGCGTAGATCTTAGATTTAATTGTACAAAAAAGAAAAGCGAGCGTTGTCTAAATAAAAGCTGAGTAGTTAAATGAGTTATTTTATATTAATTAATTAATGGAAAATACTTTAGCCTGAAGGAAAAGCAGTAAGTACATATATTTAATCCATCTTATGGCTTCATTTAATGATTTTACTTTTGTATAGGTTTTTACTCATTCATGATTGAACGCAGAAAGCGGCGATAGTTAATGCCACGAGAGCTCTTGGTGTCCTCCATGCCCTCGGTGAGCACCTGTAGCTCTTCCAAGGTAAAACACTTCCTTCTTCGGTTTACCAAAGCCAAAAGACTTGGGATCTCGATGAAGCCACTGTTTAGCGGATCAGCACGCCGCAAGGCATCAATGAACTCATCCCTCTTGGCCATATCCATATCAATGGCATTGCGACCGACAGCCTGAAGATAGATCTTGGCCTGGTTCAGTGTCTCCTCTGACCCGGATTCCTTGCCAAACATTTCACGTACCAGTTGCTCATAGGGCACATTGCCATCGGCATCGGAAACCCGATTCAGTAGACCAAAAACCTCCGACTCTTCGAGACGCTCTCCCATGCTAATCAGCAGGCGATGCAGCTCGGAGTAGGACAGCTTTCCAGTACCATCTGGATCCAAAGTGCGCAGAGCACGCATCACCTCCTCCGCCGAGGGACCTTCATTCTGATCCGCCATCTGACAGTAAAGGGTAAGGATCAACTCGAAGGAGACCCTCTGACTCACTGGTGCTCCCAGAAGACCCAGTGCCTCGCGCCGATGCATATGCTCATCCAACCGAGCGGCAAGCCACTGATCACTAAGATTCAATCCCATGGAGCGTAGACAGTCGGGCATGTCCGAAACACTTATGCGGGATGCAGCTGCTCAGTGTCAGATTATTAACAAGAATAAAGGCTATCTTTATGTCTCTAATATACCATTTGAACCACAAACACCCGCTTCCTTTCCGAACATTGCAAACATGTCGAAGACCTCATGAAGCTTGGCCACTTCCGGTAGCATAATCATTAGTTCCGACTGTTTGCGAAAGAATCCGAATTCTGGAACCGGCTTATGCCGCTCCTCGAAAACCTCCCAATCTTCTTTTTCCTTGTTCATACTTTCGGAATTAAAAAAAAGGTGTATTTAAAACACACAATATTGAAATAATTTTGTTCTAAGAGCCAAATATTTACAGGTGAAAATTTTGTCACTAGACAATAAATCTGAGATGACTTGATATATAATATATCATATTATATTGAGGCAATATATTCTTAAAAAGGGAGAAAAATCGAATGATAATTATGCGAGAAATTAAACAATAAAAATAGTTTTTTTTCTCTAATAGTTAGTGAAGTTTCAAACCGTTGCTTATACATATTACAGCTAGCGACACCGGAAATGCCAGTTTATCCGGGGAACTATAGAAACAAAGTTTCATTTAAAGCCAAATAGATGGCGTTGGTGAGCGGTTGAACATTAAATATTTTATTTTTATTAGCTATAACTAATGGTAAAACAAATTATATACATTTTAACTAATTAAAAAAAAATAATTAAATCAATATTACAATTTACTTCAAGGGCTTGGCAACAGTTAAAATAAATAAAGTCACGTAATGGCAGAGAAATATTTCCTGCGTAACATCCGGGCCACGTGACAATATAATCCTTTTAGGCATTTGGCAACAGCTCTAGCATAACCCCACAGCTGACCCGATAGCTATGGAATTTCGACTCTATAAATACGTGACCCCCGCATAAGTTAAGGGCCAAAAAGTGAATTCAAAGTACGATGCAGATGCAGTCTCTAAAGAAACTTGGTCTGGCACTGACCTTGCTGCTTCTGCTTCTGGCCATAAGTGCAGTGGAATCAAAAAGATGGAGAAAATATCACAAAATAAACATGCGAAGGCGAAAAGGACACAACGCTCTTGGTACATTAAAGCTCAACAATACAAGTGTGCAAGGAAATGTAAATAATTTAATGATTTCGGAATCAAAGGAAACAGTCTCGGCAGCTTTACCCACAGCGAATCTATCAAATTTCTACAATAACGTGTACACTGTGGCATTGGATTTTGGATCTAATGGTCAGCCTTTGACAGTTCTTGTTGATACAGGATCTGCTAACCTGGCAGTCACAAGTTCCCAATGCAAACAGCAAATATGCTTGCAAAGAAATAGTTATAATTCTGGAAAATCCAAGACATATAAACAAAATGGAACAGCAATTCAAATTGATTATGTAGATGGCACCCTCAAAGGCTTTGTCTCCCGGGACACGGTCGAGTTAGATGGTTTGAAAGTAAAGAATCAGGACTTTGCTGAGGTCACATCATTGCCAAACGCATTTTCCAGACTAAATGGAATTGATGGAATTTGGGGTTTGGGCTTCATTGATATAGCCATCGATGGCGCCGTGCCACTTTTCTATAATCTAATATCTCAGAAACTGATTGATATACCAATATTCTCTGTTTACCTTAATCGCAACGCTTCGGATCCCAACAACGGTGGACAATTGCTGTTGGGTGGATCAGACCCTATTCTCTACAAGGGATGCCTCACTTATGTTCCCATCTTAAACACTGGCTATTGGCAGATCCCTGTGGCCAGATTTACCTTAGGAACAACTATACTATTCTCCAAATTCGATGCCATTGTGGACATAGGAACCTCTCTGATCTGTGTTCCTTCGAATGCTATTGGTATTATTAACCAGAAATTGCAAATCAAAGAGTTTGCTGCAAAAGATGGCGTCTACATAGTGCCCTGCAATAAGGTATCCAGCTTATCGGATATCACTGTTAATATTGGAAGAAAGGATTTCACTTTGAAGCCATCTGATTATATCCTCAACTACAATGGCACTTGTGTCTCTGCCTTTACAAACTGCAATGGTTTGCAGGGACTGAGCAATCTCTGGGTCTTTGGAGATGCATTTATAGCACCCTTTTACTTGGAGTTTGATTTTGAATACAAGCGCATAGGAATTGCACCAAAGTTATAAAGAAAAGGAATGAATATATATAGAATAAGTAAACATTGAAGTCAATTAATATTGTATTAATAAAGATATATTATTGAAATATATATTTTGAAAATAAAAATGCAAAAACTTATAATGGGGTCGAAGGGGAAACAGTAACACCATCACTAAAGATGTAAACAGGCCGGAGGCCACGCACAGACTGAGATCAGCGAGACGGCCGTGCCTGTATTTATAGTCCCCGAGTGAAGAGAACAGAGAAAGCGAGAGGGAGAGCGAGAGAAAGGGGGTACGACTCGAACTTGAGGCAGAGAGAGAGAGAGAGTTAGAGAGTAACAGATATGTTGGAGTTAGAGAGAGTGAAGAGAACAGAGAAAACGAGAGCGGGAGAGAAAGAGGTACCTCTCGAGTTAGCCAGATATGTTAGAGTTACAGAGAAAGTAACAGTAGGAGAGAGACAGGGATAGAGAGGCCTCCAGAGAATAAAGCGAGATAGAGTAAAAGAGAGACAGGGAGAAAGCAATATAGAGAATTATTATTATTTATTATATATTATACATATTATTTATTATCAACTTTTGGCTGTATTCGAGTTCAACGCAACAAAAAGTATCGGAAGAATATATTCTGAGATTATTTTATATTTTGTCGGCCACAATTATAACCGCCAAAAAACAGATTTGTTTTTGAGACAAACTTATCCAGGGCTTAAGTTTAGATAGCTATCTGAGACTTTAAAAGAAAACCCCTAAATCGTAAACAAAAATCAAATATTAAATAATATTATTTTTTAGCTAACCGGAAAAGATAAGATATACATGTTGTACCTATCATTGAAAAAAATTGATTTGTTTACAAGAATTCCTGCCTTTTTTCCTTGTTATCAATAAATTGCAAAATTTGCAGTTAATTTCCACAATTTTTCATTGAAAATTCGCCGACTTAAGCGAGTTCAGTTTATCTAAATTCCCACAATCTGAATTAGATTTTATGCACGGCCCCTACTCGTGTAAACAAGGGCCGCCCGATCGATCACTTATGATATCTTTGCTTCGTCCAGGTAGACTTAATCGATTGGTGATCAATTTTGAGCCAGTTCTTTTTCTTCCTATCACCGCAGTGATATAAATATCAGACGATAAAAGTGGTTTTCTTCAGTCAAGCCCCAGGACAGAAAAAGGGGAGAACTGTGATTTCTTGGGCTGCGAAAAGTTGCAAAAAAACAAAATGTTAAAGTGGCTGGTTCTGCTGACCATTCTGGTCCTGGTCAGTGCCGAAGTGCACAAGGTCAAGATCCATAAGAGGGAGCACAAGAAGTCCCATTTGGCCCGCAGGATTGCCGTTCATATATTGAAGCACAAGGTTCACCAGATAATTCGTCATCATCTCCGTGATCTTGTTATCTACGACGATGGAGCACCGATTTATGTCCAACCCGACTATGACTATCCCAGTCAGGATACGGACTACACCTCCGAGGAGTTGGGCAATTCGATGAACATGTACTATTATGGTGAGATTAGCATTGGCACTCCGCCGCAGTACTTCAATGTGGTCTTTGACACGGGCTCTGCGAATCTCTGGATTCCCTCGGTCCAGTGCCTGGCCACCGATGTTGCCTGCCAGCAGCATAATCAGTACAACTCCAGTGCCTCCTCCACGTATGTGGCCAGTGGACAGAACTTTTCCATTGAGTATGGAACCGGCAGTGTGACTGGATATTTGGCCACGGATACCGTGACCATTAATGGCCTGGCCATTACCAGTCAAACCTTTGGAGAGGCCATCTCTCAGCCGGGAAATAGCTTCACCGACGTGGCCTTTGATGGCATTCTTGGCATGGGATTCCAGCAGATTGCCGAGGATAATGTGGTGCCACCATTCTACAATCTCTATACCGAGGGACTGATTGATGCTCCAGTTTTTGGTTTCTATCTGGCCAGGAATGGTTCTGCCGAGGATGGTGGCCAATTGACATTGGGTGGCACCGATCAGAGCCTAATCTCTGGAGAGATGACCTACACTCCAGTTACCCAGCAGGGCTACTGGCAATTCAGTGTGAACAACATCACCTGGAATGGCACAGTGGTGTCCAGTAATGTCCAAGCGATTGCCGATACTGGAACCTCTCTGATTGCCTGCCCGCCGGCTGCCTATGCTCAGATTAATCAATTAATTGGTGCCATACTCATCCAGGGAGATTACTATGTTCCCTGTGCCACTGTGGACTCCCTGCCAGTGCTAACCTTCAATATTGGTGGCACCAACTTTGACCTCCCGCCCTCGGTTTACATCCAAACCTATACGGATGGTAACTACAACACTTGTATGTCTACCTTCACCTATATTGGCACAGATTTCTGGATTTTGGGAGATGTTTTCCTGGGCCAGTATTACACCGAGTTTGATTTTGGCCAGAATCGTGTGGGTTTCGCCAATCTGGCTTAAGATCTTAAGTAGATGTGAACGAACAAACGAACGTAATAGAGAAAATATTGATTATAAAAGTATAAAAAAAGAAATAATATTTATGGAAAATATATGCATGAAAATATATAAAAAAGCGGCTTTAAATGTTTAAAAAATTTATGCTCATTTGCTATAAGAAACTCTCATATTACACACTTTTTTCTTCACCTCTCTGAAACCATTAACTCTTACAGTTTATTTATTTACTTCAAAAGACTATTCCCTTAAGTTTATTAAGCAAATGTCCAACTCCAACCACTGTACTTTTATATATTATTATCAATTTTCTACACCCCCAAAAATGTTCAATTTTACCCATTTCTTATCACGTGAGAAATTCTTTACTAAATGGTGTGAGTCGATCGAACTTAACCAAAGAGTTATGTTTATCTCAATGAACAGAACGTAAACCAGGTGAAGCTGCCAAGCCATAAATACGTGACCAATTAGGCCTCAGTTCATACAAAATCGCAAGCGCCGACCATGAGGTTAAAGTGTAATAACTCGTGCCAGTTAATTCCATTATGTTTCACATTATTGGTTTTATTCACATTCAAAGTGGAAACCCGAAAGAGTTTAAAATTTGAAAGACACCGAAATCCCGAACAAAGTCATCATAATTTGAAAAACGAACTCAAAAGTCTGTCCATTAAGCACAATCTGAAGGTGGAAGATGCCACAACGGTGGCTCCTTTAAAGGATCGGAGTACAAGTTTGGGAAATTATGCCAACACGATGTACTATACCAAAATAGAGATTGGAACACCTCCACAGGAATTCACAGTGTTAATCGATACGGGATCAGCGAATCTATGGGTGCCTTCGATTCAGTGTACAGCTTCACCCTGTCAGAATCACAGGAAATACAACTCAAAGGCTTCAAGGACTCATGTGGTTAATAACACAAACTTCCAGATACAATATGCCTCAAATTCAGGTGAAGGCGGTGTGGCACTCTCTGGACACATATCCCAGGATGTTGTAAAGATAGGAAGTTATTCCATTCGCAATCAGGGATTTGCTGAGATCATCGATGAACCACTTAAACCCTTTCTCAACTCTCCCTTCGATGGTATCTTGGGTCTGGCCTATGACACCATAGCAATTGGTGGTGTCACGCCTCTCCTTTATAATTTGGTTAATCAAGGTCAAATAGAGTATCTAGGTTTCTCGATATACTTTCAAAGGAATGGCACGAATGCCTTGAGCGGTGGAGAGCTAATACTAGGAGCCACCGATTCCCGTCTTTATAGTGGATGTCTCACCTATGTGCCCATCTCTACACCTGCTTATTTTCAATTTGAAATGACAAGTGCCACATTGAATGGCAGCAAATTGTGTTCAAACTGTGAAACCATCCTAGATGCAGGCACTTCAATGATTGTGGTACCTGGAAAAGCTATTAAAAAAATCAACAAATTATTGGGTGTTACAAATCCAAATGATGCAAGTGGTGTGTTTTTTGTGGATTGCTCAACAGTTTCCCTTTTACCGGATATGATTTTCACCATTGCTCGGAAGGAGTTGCCCTTGAAGTCATCTCAATATGTTCTTCAATATGGAAATGTTTGTGTTTCGAGCTTTACAAGTTTGGAGGGAAACTCTTTATGGGTTCTAGGTGATAGTTTCATGGGTGCTTATTACACGGTTTTTGATTTGGAATATCATCAAATAGGAATTGGCAAGGCAGTGCATTGAGATGAGATGTTACTCGGAAAATATATACATATTTTAAAGTACTTAATGTTGTAGAGGACTAGGATTATGTCCTTTTACAGGCACACAATTAATAAAACTAATCTAAATAATACCCATTGTATACTTTGTAAAGATAATAAAATACCACCCCTATTCGAATAATTACAAACTACTTCCGTAGCACGGACTTTACTTAAACTGCGTATTTAATATACTTTTTATATTTTAATATTGAGCTTAAATCACATATTCAAAGTCACCTTTACGTGTGCATGTCAATGAATTGTGAAGCGATAAATGCATCAGAATCGAGCTATAAAAACACAAGCATTAACTTGGCTTTAAGCCAGTTAAAGACCATGAACCTGTCTGTGATAACCCTTCTACTTCTCCTCTGTCAGATCGTGCTCTGTGTCGGGATGCACAGAGTTCGTCTCAGTAAACACAGTCGGAGACACCACAAGTTTCCTCATCTATCAATTTATTTAGCAAATCGAAATAGAATTAGAGGAAAACATGGCTTAACCCCAATCCATGCCATTAATGGTGGAATTGAGCCAAAAAATGGCTCAGGAAGTGACTCCAAAGTAGTGGTTCAACGCCTCGTAAATTCCTGTGAAACGAATTTCTTTGGAACTATAAAAATGGGTGGAAGTAATCCACAAACTTTCACCGTCCAATATGATACTGGATCCTCGGATCTGTGGCTACCCAGCTCCAAGTGCGGTTCTTGCAAGAAATGTGGCAGCAGTTTGTTCAAGGAATCAAAATCTGAAACACTTCGTCAGAATAAAACTGGATTTAGCATCACATATGGATCGGGATCGGTCAAGGGTTTGGTGGCCAATGATGTGCTCATCCTTGGTGACTTGAGGATTGAAAATCAAGGCTTTGGTTTGGTCAATGACACCACCGATTGCTCAGTTTTCGATGGAATCCTTGGTTTGGCATTTCCCAATCTCTCACAGATTGGTACCTTGCCGCCCTTTCAAATGATGTTGGCCCAGAAATTGCTGGAGAAACAGATCTTTTCGTTTTACATGAAGAGTGGTTCCAGTGACGGTGGTCTCCTTATAATCGGAGGATCCAACTCGAGCTTGTATTATGGTCCCTTGACTTATACAAAAGTGACGGAGGAGAAGTATTGGTCTTTTCTAATGGGTTCCATAGGATTCCATGGAACGAATGTGAGATCATGTGAGTCGGGATGCCAGGCTATTATGGATACGGGAACATCTTTGATTGTTGGCCCAGTTACAGAGGTTCATGGCCTAATGGATGCCATTAAAGCTGTGTACGATGCCACTTTGGATCTGTGGACAATGGATTGCAAATTGATTGAAACTCTACCGCATTTGGTTATTCAAATCGAGGGCATTATGTTTTATGTACATCCAGCGACATATGTGATTAGATATTCCGATTTCTGCTTCGTGGGCATAATGGATATGCGGGGTCTGACCAAATGGATAATCGGTGATGTCTTCCTGAGGGAGAACTATGTGGAATTTGATTTGAAAAACAAAAGAATGGGCATTGCGCCAGCTGTTTGATTTGATTAGTTTTTTTTTTTTTTTGCTGTTACAATTATGTTTAAGAGTGGAAATGTTTATTAATGATATACATTTTCAAGTGAAGTTTATATTAATTGATGAATTATGAGTTGATAAAGTGTAAATTGTGATGATTTAGTGTAAAAATATGGAAACGGAAAAATATAATGACTTATATTTCCAGAAACCTTATCCAATGAGCATTAATTGGACCGAAAATAGAAGATTCGTTTTTAGTAATTTCATCAATTACAGATTAAAATTTTGTTAAAATATAAAATGTATATAAAATCAGTTTGATTTGGAGTTTTTTTTTCTCTTGATTTGGCCCCCTATAACTGACCTTATTGGTGACCAGTTGTTGGGGGTTCCTTGCCAGTTGGAGAAGTGGTTCCTGCTCCTGATCCTGGCAGGACACCGGGCACTCCCTGTCCATTCCCACCGTAAATGCCACGCGGTATGCGAGCATGACGTTGCTGCTGCTGCTGCTGCTGTTGCTGTTGCAACTGAAACTGACGGATTTGTTGCTCAAAATTGGCATAAATCATGGCAGCTGCAGCAGCAGCACAGGTGGTTGTATGATGGTGATGATGCTGATGCTGATGCTGGTTCTGTGCCATATGCTGATGAGTTTGCAACGGATTTGGGCGCATGTTGCGTGCCATAAGCTGTTGGTACAACTGCGACAAGTTCAACTCATTGGCAGGAGCATGGGCATGGGCATGGGCATGGTTATGATTATGACCATGGTAATGGACATGATTGTGTCCACAGAGTCCTACGCCTCCCATTTCGGCGCCACTCAGGAGAGCACCACCGGGACGATGTTGCTTCTGATGCTGCAAGGCTGCCGCCATGGCGGAGTGAGCGGCTGAACCCACCGGTGACTGTGGTGGATGGACATGGGATCCATGCATGTGTGGACAGGATGGATGATGCGGATGTGGTCCCAACTGATTGAATTGATACATCTGAGGAATGGTCATCTCATTGCCTGCCTGGCTATGTTGCACAGGTCGCGTTGCCTGCCTCTGCTGCTGCTGCTGCTGCTGCTGCTGTTGCTGTTGCTGCTGTGGCAAAGCCGTGGAGCAGGTTGGCTAAATTAAAAACTATAAGTAGAAAGAATTCAAAACCCCTAGAAAAAATCTTACCCCAGGATATTGAGATCCCGAGGCTGTTGCTGTTGCTGCAACTCCTCCATTCGTCTGCACTTGGTTCCTATCCACGGGTAGCCCAATCTTCTCGAGTCCTGGTGGCGTATGCGAATCCCCATTCGTTGCTTGATCCAGATCTGCAAAACAAGTAGCCGTGTCCTTGGGAAAGTCGAGAAAATAGTCCCCAAAGAGGGAATAATTCTCGGCAGCCTTATAATAGTTCGGAGTGTCAATTTCCGGAAAACCGTAGGGGTCTCCGTACAGTGCCCTCCCCACCTCGAGTATATGAGCGGTGGCATTATCATTCGCATGTATCTTACTTCCAATTCCATTTCCGCCATTCTCGCCTCCAGTTACCGGCTCAGGTCTCAGAATTGATTCCAAATCTGAGGGTACATAGGGCAGCTTTTCACCCGGAAACTTACGTATTCCCAGGGCAACATCGCCGGACGTCACACTCCAGATTTTCTTGGCCAGTTCATCCGATATATTGGCTATGAGTCACATGGGGATTTCGATTTATTTACTTGTCATTATACATTTTATGGTGCAATACCCTGAGTGGTGGCCAGCAGCTCATCTGCATTTATGTCGTCCACTGGAACTTTCTCATTGTTCTCACTGTTCTGCTCAGACATCATTGGTTTGTTGTTCTCCGACATCTTTAGATCGCGAACACAGAAACGAACAATTTATACAAAATGTTTGCAAACGATATGCTTATGTCAAATTTCTCGAGAAAAAATAAAATAAATTATTTTTATAGAGCCGACAACACACCCTCTATCCCTAGCTGTATCCCAAGGCACACTAAATGGAAAGAAATCAAATTCCCCCTTAGGAAAGCTAACTTCTGGAGTAACCAGATCGGATATCAAAACACTTCTGGGCTGTACTTTTTGTTTATAAGCAAAAGGCGATATGCCTTTATATAAATAAATGTATATTAGCAGAGCACCCTTTGCTTTTACATTTAACACATATGGCAATAAAAATATTCACTTTCTATATAAATACATACATATGTACATATGTGCAAATGTTTCAAAACTTAATCCCAGTTAAAGCGAAGTTTGTTTTTGATTATAAAGTTCTTTGGAATTTTAAAGTGAAAAAACTTGTAATGTTTTTTTTTTTACACACACACACACAGCAAAGATTTTTGCTAAAAGTTGCATGTGCAAAATTTTCCTTGTAAAATATTCATAAAGAACTAGATTCCTGTATTTATTCGTTAGCTTCCATTTATCTACAGTCACCCACTTTGAAATGAACCTATTTTATAAACAATTGGCTCTTTATTTCAACAATTTAACAGCGAACACACAAAAAAAAAGTCGCGGACGAAGTTAAGCGCAAGCGTGCCGGCAGACAGAGACAGAAACAGGTGCTCGTATAACAGGAAGCAGTCAGTTAACTGTCAATAATCGTATAACAGAAACCAGCTCCAGCCCCGGCCAACTTAACAAGACCCGGTAGCTCAAGTAGCGTAGGGATGCATCTGGAAATATATCGATTACCATTACGTAATATTATTGAATGTATTATTAAGGTTTCCTTCCCTTTTTTACTAAGCAAATAATAACACAAGCACAATTTAAATGAAAAAAATGTGAGCTTGAAGGAAAATTATTGAATATTGTAGAAAAATATTCGATAGTTTTAAATTATGGATATATATCGACTTTTAGTCCATATTTTTCCATCTCTAATGGCGAAAAGTACAGCTTTTATGCAAAGTTTAAATTAAAAATAAGCAAAAATAATATGCTTTCTAAAACAGTAAAGTGTGCCTTAAAAACTTCTAGTTAATTTGAAAAGATAATGACAACAGGCAGAGTTCGTATTTGATCTGCATTCTGTTGTACAAATCTTTCAAGTTAACCATTCCTTACATATTTTCGGTGCTGTTGTTGCCACAATTCCCATGCTCATTCCAGCCCCAAGTATACACTGCTCCCGCAGATGTCCTAAGCAAGCCATGCTCTGCTCCCATGTGAATTCTAGCCGGTGTTTGATCCTCCGGCAGCTTCAGGCTCAGTGGAGTCGGTATAGCCTGCTGTTCGCTGAACGATCCTGTTCCCAGTTGTCCATAGCAATTGCGACCCCATAGGAGGATTTCATTGTTCCTTAGCACCGCTGCATTGTGGGTCCAGCCCACGGCCAGCTGCCGCACATCCTCCTCAAAGTGAAAGGCATTCGACTGACCAAATTTATTGTCGCCCAGCGTGAGAATCCTCTTGGTGCTGCCGCCTCCAGTTTCGCTAAGATCTACACACTTCAGAAGCATGTTATTCTGACCACTGGAAAGGGACACGATCTTTAGCTCATTTGGATTATGAGCCTGTATCTTTATCGTATTGCAGCGATGCAGGCAGGTGGCCGTGATATCCAGTTCAATGGGCGGGGGGTCCATAATTCTCAATCGTCCAAAGACATAAATCTTGTGATCCTCCGTGAGTACGGCACAGTGGCGCAATCCAAAGCTAATCCTGATGGCATCCTCTTCCCGAGGCAGCTTCACTGGCATGGGTCTTCTCACAGCTAAAAACCCACGTTGACATATTCCCAACTGCTGGAAGGCATTCGATCCCCAGACATATAGGCGTTTGGTCAGGGTAATGGCGCCGGATATGTCCCAGCCACAGCTGATCTTGTCCACAGGTACTTCCTGGTAATGTGCATTTTATCGGTTAAAGTTGTTATTGTTATGAATATTTATTATTTAATAGTTTGTTACCCCAAAGAATTCGGTGGGAATCATCTTAAACTCATTGTGGCACTCCTCCGTTGAGTCCAGGCCCAGTTGACCACGATTATTCCAGCCGCAGGCATGCACTCTTCCATTCGTGTCGAGGATGAGGACGTGGCCACCGCCACCGCGAATGCACCGCACTTGGGCGGCGGCAAAGGAGCAGGAGCTCTTGGCCACCCGCTGCGGTGTCATGCACAACTCGGACTCAAAGCCAAGGCCAAGCTGGCCGTGAGAATTGGCACCCTAAGACATCACAGAAAATGGGCAAACAAAAAGGCCACCAAAGGAAATCACTCATTAATTTGCAATGCAAATCGCCCCGCGGCGATGTCTCTGTTATTTTTGAATACTCTTAGAAAGGGTGAGCTAGGTTTTCTTAAAAGTTTGAAATGCTAAGGTAAGTTACATATTTAATATAAGTTTCCTTGAAACAAAAATAGCATTTCTAAACTTATTTACAATAAATAACTTGGTTTTTAATCTGATTTTGGATCTGATAATTGGAATAGAATTGAATGAATATAAGTTAACTATAAGATACCTTATTGTGATATTTTATATATTCATTTTAAAAGTTTTTAAATGTTTAATAGACTAAAAGTTGTTGTTTAGAATATATAAATGGAACCTAACTAGACTCTACTTAAGTATTTTGTATAAGAAAGATCTCAAAGTTTAAGGTTTGATTTAAACAATTTTGAGCCCTGGTAAAATCAGAAATGATTAAATTTGAGATTGGGTCCCTTGGAAAATTGTTTTGTGATAAGATTACTAATTATGGATGTGAAATTGGTACTAGAACATAATAATTTTTCATTTACAGCACAAGAAAAACAATATATCTTTTAGATTTCTCTATTTTATAAACCACAAGAGTATTCCCTATTTCCTTTTAGAAAGCCTGTCTATTTGCTCCACTCCCTTTAAAAAAAAAACCGGGCGTGGGCTTAAAAGCAATGTCCTACCCAGGCGTAAACCTCCATGACCACCAGTTGCTTCGCTGCACTTCCGGTTGTTGTTCGTCGCCGCGATTTCTTCGGTGATTCCGGTGATTTAATGCGACGCAGTCACGCCAGAAATGTGGCGGCGAAGGTGCGATTCCAACAACAAATTGGACTACTCGATGGCCTCCAATAGCGCTCCTTAGGCCTCCGGACGCGTGGCTGTGCCGTTGGCAGCTCATGTAAAACTGAGTCTAAACTCTGTAGGTTGAATTACTTTTATATTCGCAATTCTTTCAAATGTTTTTTAACTTTGCGTGTGCGGCAAACAAAAAATGTAAACAATGCAAATGAGAGATGAGCGTTGCCAGACTTCTGAGCACAGCTGATTTGTTTACCCCTGTTAACTTTTAACAGCGGGCTAACAGGAAGCTTAAGATTTACAGTTTCCCGCCAAAGGGGAAATTCAAATGTTATTTAAATAATTTAAGTTTTTTTACTTAGTTTTTATACTAAGAAATTATTGAAAATGTTTTGTTTTTATTTTATTCAATGTTAACTTATTGTTCCTTGCCTTTACTCCCTCAACCAACAATTATTATTACATTAAATGGCCTTTAAAAATTGAAAATAATACCTTAATGTCTCATTCGGTTATGGCTTAAACGATTATATAATCCCGGAGAGAAAGTCACGAGAACTGCATATTAATATATTGTAATTAAAAGCAATGAAAGTTCAGGGCGAAGGCTAAAGTGCATGCAATTTTAATTAAGTTTTAATTGTCAAGACGAAGCAAGAAACCTAACCCTAGTTAGCCATAAATGGAAGCTTGCTCCGGAGGAAAAAGGGAATTAGTTGCACAAAATGGACCGTGACGAATTTAATAATACCTAAAGTTACAGCCTAAAAATTAAAGATTGAATATTATATTAAAATAAATTCAAGAAGTCTTTGAAATGTATGTTTACGATTAATAGTACAAAAAAAATGTTTAATAGGTTAGGTATGATAATTATATGTTATAGGTTATATCACTCCTAAATTTTAAATCGCACATTTAAGAAATATATTTTGTTAACCGAAATGCTCGTAAGCAGATAGGTGAACACAGGTGAGTTTTAATTACCATGAAATCAAGGTGCTGGCAAAGGTAAGTGAGCAAGGGGCGCTAACAGCAGGACATTACAAAGCTGCAATGTTTGGCTGGCATGCAATGGCTGCCTGGAAAATGGGGAATCCCCTTCTTCCTCTCCCTTGCACATGTGAAGAATGCACTGCGCTTCGCATTTGCAATTCAAAAATGAGCCCCACAGCCGCCGTTGCACACGTTATTTAGAATGGCCTGGCACCGCCCCTAAACGCTAGAAATGAAAACTGATGATTTTCACTTGATACCCAGAAAACGAAGAAAAGCCATGCAAGAAAGAACGACTGCTCCACATGCAATCGAAGGTGCTCATGGGGCAATGGAAATCTCTTTTAAATTGCCATGGCAGTCAATTAAAACCCAAAGGAATTAACATGTTGACTGGTTAAATGTCAGCGAAATGGAATCGAATTAGGAAAGAATTATCCTTGGCTTTTCTAAGGGATTATTGCATTATAAAATTTACCTTGCAGGGCATTTAAAAGTCGTTTAAATTATTTTACTTTCAGTGTGTGTTTTTCGTGTGTCCAATATGAATTGTTATTCCCATTGCTTGGCACTACTATGACAGGTTTATATGAGGTATTTCCGTTTCGCTTTGGTCAGCTTGCCGGAAAAACCCCATAAAAAATCCACAATGAAAGAAAATGAAAAATTAACTCTTAAATGGGGACTTTTTGAATTAAATAAAATTTAAATTGATATTAGACCTTATATCCTAGAAATAAAGTTTTTATCCTCAAAAAATTATAAGAATTTACCTAATTATTATTTTAATTTACTTGAAAATTATTAATAAGTGTTAACATAAAAAATAACATGAGTATGTACATAAATTATATTGATTTATTTATTATAAAATATTTTAACAAGTAATATTAAAATATTTTCATATTATAAATATAGCTTTATTAAGTTAATTGTATTATAATCTATTATTTTTATAATATTCTATTTTAGCTTATAAAATAAATTTAAATTAAGAAAAATACATTTACATTTAAATTTTCAAACTTTTATTGGCATGTTAATTAACATAACATATTGTGACAATAACAGAAGTGACAGTGTTGGTAAACTTTACAGTCCATTAATATGCAACACTGCTCCATTGGCGCCAAGAATTCAAATTCTGCTAAGGGTGCCCATTAATATTATCGTGTTTCATTCACGAACCTCGTGTAGGATCCTTGTAGGGATAAGTGTATTTCGAAGGACTTTTTATAAGGCCTCACTTGCACTTTGCGCGTGCATGTGTTTGTGCATATGTGAGTGTATATGTATGTACGTCCCAGCGGAGTAATTTAAACGTAGGGGACACGTGACTCCATTCCCTGTGTGTTTTTGGCATCTTTACGACTTTTTGTCTGTTGGTTGTCACATTTTTTCTCGGTTTTTGTTGCTGTTGCGTGTTGAGTTGGGTTTCGTGTGTTACAATTTCTTGTTTTGTTTTTTTTCTCCCTTTATTTTATTTTTGCAATTGCCATTTTGTTGCTATTTTCGTTTTTGTGCAAGAAGAAATGTTGTTGCTTTCTTTTTTTTTGGCTGTTTTCGAAATTAAATCTAATTTGATGTGCAAATGTGTTGTGTCGGCACTGGCGCTTTGTTATTAGCCACATTCTGGCACGTCTGGCACTCCCTTTTCGCTATCCTTCTTATCCTGCGAAATGCAGGTACAGTCGTAATTCGAAAATGGGTTTTAAATTGAAGGGAATTGGGTTTTGAAGACAACATTTAATTGAATTATTACTATTATATTGTAATTTAATATATCGATAATGTATATTTTTGTATTTATTAATTCTTTAATTTATTATTAATAATTTATTTAAAATTCTATGCAAGGTAAATATATTTAATAACATTAACACATCCTTTTAAATTAATTCTTTTAATATATATTAATTAGATTTAGTCTTTGAAGACGCTTGATACCAATTCTTTTAAGATTTTGAAACATAAAATGAAGTCTTATATTTTAATTTTCTTTTAAATGTATTAAAATTTTTTTAGGTTTCCCTGTATCCCTGTTTTCCAAACCCTCTTCATTTACTTGCTCGTCCTGAATTAACAGTTAACGAGTAAATGGCTTACGTTGTCTTTTCCTCCACGTTCTTTGGTCCCCGCCTTTTGCGGTTTCATTTCATTGCAAGTTGCATTTTGTTTGTTTTTCGCTTAAATTTTTTTTGCTTTTGTCGTTTTTTGTTTTATTTTTTTGTTATTTTTTTTGTACTTCTCTGTGGTTTTTCCATGAGACAAGGATAGCGCCAACGTGTGATAAGCCAAAGTGGCAAAATTGTTGTGGGATCAGGGGAGAAAGGTTGGCAGGAAAGCGTTGCTGATGAGGGGAAACTGCCGATTGGCACTTGCAATTAAGCGTTTGGCTTTAAATGTCAATGGTTGGCAAGCATTTTCCACAATTAACTTATACCGGCAACATTTGTGGTCTCAGCAATGGTTTTATTTCTTCGAATTTTTCCGTGGTTTGAAATGTTTAAGCAGGTTAAATGGTATAAAATTGGGAAACTTAATTGAAAGGCTAGTTAAAAATATAAAAACTACCTAAAATAAGTATTATATAATGTCTTAAAATAACTTAAATATATAATACACAGAAATCCCTTGAATTACACCCCAAAAAAGTATGCTACAAATTTGTATGCATAACAAAAGAAACACAAATGTACTTTGCAATTGTAAAGTTATTTATTTTATGTGATATATATACACTTCTTTTGAACTAATTTTAAATATACAATAATATTTTGAAAATTATATACTATTAGCATTCAAATGCCTATCGAATGCCACCAACTGTTGCTTAAAAACTACATCAATCCCTCTATTCCCATTCCGTAACCACTCTCCCATCAAATGGTTTAGCAATTCCATATTTTCAAAACCGATGAGCGATGGACAAAAGTCATTTCGACCTCTAATCATGACTGTGGTCTCGACAGTTGTCCATTGCTTTGGTTGATTCCGATTCGGATTCGGATTCAGGCGGAGGACCCACCTCCTGGGAGAACACCCCTTCACCTGTCCTGACCTGCAAAACACAATTCGTTTCGTGGCCGAAACACACACACAATCGAAAACCAAAGCCAAAAACCCTGTCCCGCAATGGCTGTCAAATTATGAAAATGGAATATTTTCCGGTGTGCCTGACACTTTAAATGAAATTTGAAAAGCAATCACACCGCAGTACCAACACACTACACACCCCATACCCCTCTGGCTGTTTCCCTAATTGCTCAATCAAAAAACGTATGCAATTCCATGGGGTAAATCAAGCTGACTCTCTGGAAAATGCATTTTTCCCCAGACAAAAAAAAGAAAAAGAAACTAAATTTTATACTTAAACTTTGCTACAAAGGCGAGGCAAAAGGATGGTTATACTGGGCTGGTAGGGCCGGAAGATGAACGGAAGTGTTTGGCGGTTTTTCTCGGGAGGTGCAAAAGGGGGAGGGGTTGGAAAACGAATGAAAGTGATTGCCACAAGCAACAGCCAAAGACAACAATGCCAAACTTTGGCTGGGCCAAGGAGTTGTACGAAATGCGGGGAAAAACGGTTGAGAAAACGGGGGAAAACGAAAGAAAAGTGGGGAGGGAAAAAACGTGGGGAAAAACCGGAGGGGAAAAGCAAGGGGCATGGCTGCTGTTGGGTAGCGGAAACGGAAGCGCATTGAGCAAAGTTGCAGTTGTTGGCTTTTGTTTCGCCATCTCTCCAACGCCAGAGCAAAGCAATTTAAGTTAAACAAGCGCTCAACGCGGTCCCTCCTTTTCCTCGTCCTTTTCGTCCTTTCCTTCTTTCCCTTTCTGTGGATCTGAGTTTTCCACCCTCTCCCCTACCCCTAGTCATCAGTGTCCTTTTGCCCCGCGTTGCACACAATGAAAATGTCAAATATTTTCCAAAATCCTTTCGTTTCGCTTGGATTTGTTGCGAGCGCTTTTCAAAAATGGTTTTCCCTGATTGACTTAAAGTTTTATTTTCGTTTTTTCCCAAGAACTGAGCTGACATTATTCGGCAGTCTATCAAATGGGTTACATTTCTCAGTTGAAATTGATTTCATGACAAGAGCTTAGGAGGGGAAAGCTAATTAAATTAGCTAAAGTTTTGTTGAATGGAGTTTTTGAGGGGGGACTTGAGGAATATTCCCTTCAAAATGTAAGAGAAATATTGAAAGTGTTATTGGGAGTGTTAA